TGACATCACTGGTCCACTCGTTCTCGGATGCGTTCTCATCGGTGGACCAGTTGTCCACACATCGTCAAGGCGTGTCAGTGTTAAAAAACTTGCTGACGTCATCAGCCTTCGAAGACCTGAGAAGCACTCTCTTTGGAGAGGGGAAAGTGCCCGATGTTAATTTGGATAATATGTTCGACGAATTTGGTGATTTACAGGTAAGTTTGGGAACTTTATATTTATATTTCGTCAAGAAATTTCATATTCAACAGTGAACAGCTTCCAAATACTCTTTGTGGCTTAGGAGTAGTTAAAAACGTAACCAACATAGAGAATGATAAAGTTAAAGAGCCACTTTAATTTGTAGTATTTATGTAGTTATTTAATTTACTAATCCGAATGCAGCTAGCCAAACTTACCATTTACTTTTATTAATTCACCTATTATATTATATTATCTCCTATATGAAAATGAAATCTATACTTTCTGAGTAAATCTTCTGACATACATTTTAAAAATTCTGAAAGACTGCACTGTAACGTTTAATTTTAGTTCTTGATGATTGCATGTTGTTAGGGAGTGAGGAGTATACTGTCGAAAGCATCTTCGCTCCTGCGCTGCATCAGCCTGGACAGGTTCCATGCGGCGGCCGATGAAGAGCGGCTGGCTCATGAAGCCGGTAAACTTGCAGTTATCGACGAATTCACCGCTGGTAACAACGTTTTTACCTTAAATATTGTTTAATTTACCAAAAATCATATGAAAATATACCTAATAATACTAACTAAGCTAAAAGTCGGTCAACTATTCCAAGATCCATTCATAATAAAACAACAAAACTTTACCTTTGTTAGTATAACATGCGTGTAATTTTAATGCATTTATATTTCTATTATTTTAAAGGGCTGGTGTTCCTTAACGATGGCTTAGATGACTCTATGACTAATATACGATATAAGATACGTATGGACATCGACAACACGCCGACCACAGCCAGATTGAAGAATTAGTATGTATTTTTTTATTTTAAAACTAATAAATGGATCGGTAGTATTGTTCCTCACAGTACTGAATACTTAATAACATACAAATATAAATCTCTACGGGCATTACCAAGATTACGTACCTATGTCAGTGCGAGCTCAGCGTCATCTCCCGTTTATGAATAAAATCAACCTGCCATATAAATACAAAGTTGTACAATAAAAACTTCAAAATCAGTTTGGGTAAAAGTGTTGAGAAGTGATACTACTGGCATATCTAACGTTGTTGTTTAAGATGTTAGCTCTTTACAAATAACTCTGTATAAATATAAAAACAGGTTTTATGCGACTTGGACTCGCGCATGAAAGAATGAGTAGCTCTATGGCGTAGCAAAAAGCGCCGCGGCCCGATTGTTTTTGTTAAGCATCTTTCGCAAGAGGTGGGTCACGGACCACGGTATGGGTGACTAAAAATTATTATCTCGACCTACTCCGTGCTTCGGATGGCATAGTGCCTTTTATCCCGGCTGCATTTACAGTCGTTAATACCCTCTAATCCGCATTGGGTCAGCATAGAAGATGATGGCTCACCCGCCTTAAAATACCAAAAGGGAGGCCTGAGCCACTTCACTGGAAATGTAAAAGGGCTAATGATAACGAAGGGTACCATGCCATTCTCTATGAAATTAAAAAATGACATTTGCAACAAACAATAATGGATTAACTTTGATTCGTTATGTTATCGCTGTCCCGTTCAGCCTGTGGATCCCGGGTCCCGAGGATAACTTCCTGGAGAACATGCGTTACTTCCGGGGTTTCGTGCAGATCCAGGACATAATCGACCGCGCCATCATACAGGTATAGTATAAAATAGGTTACACTGATGTACCTTCTTGAAGGTACGACAGAATTTTAACCAATCATAATGTTCCGTATTTGCACGTCAGACATGTCGTTTGCTATTGGTTGGTGTGTGTGTGCTACATAATATATTGAGACAATCGTGAGTTGTACTGTGGATATCAACCTTAATAGAACATATTAAAGTCTATATTTCAAGAGAGTTGTTACTTGTACTTCAGTATTGGCTTTAGCTTGTCTTCTCAATCCATAGCTTCGACAAAATCAAATAAATCGTTGTTTTGAAATATTTACCTTTTTTAGTTTTTTCGCGAAAACAAAGTTATGACGCAGTCGCAATAATTTTTAAAGATTTCAATTTTGTTTAAAGTCTTCCTGATGTTATTGTTTCTTTCCGAAGAAAAATCTTTATTAAAATATTTTTATATCGTACAGGTGGCGAGAGAGTCCACGGGCCGTACAAGGAATAAAAGAGAAGTAAAAGAAGAAGAAAAATTTGCCTTATACACCCAACAAATGCCTTACCCGTGCTACAGGAAGGATTTGTGAGTATTATCAGAACAAAAAGTAATGGGTCTTTATAAATCTCTTCTAAGCAAATTTCTATGCTTATTAATAATATATGTACATTTGCCGAATTAAAATTATGGGGGAAAAAAAACTGAGGGGCAGTTTTTCTCAATCCGTACAAAGTGCAGTATAGTTGTTGACATTATCGGTGATGGTGTTAGTTTCCAGACGTCTCTGTACGAGTCCCAGGCGTTGCTGGTGGCGTTCTTCTTCTCGCTGCTTTTCACCGTCACGTCTGTCGTCAGATTCCTAGTTGCTGACCATGAGTCGGGGAACATCATGGTAATAATATACTGTTAGCTGCAATTAATGATACTGTTTCCGGATGCACTTGCTCATTTTTGTTATTGAAATATTTATTGAAGAGCTTCAGTTTCGAAGATATGTAACTTAAACCCGAAAAAGTAAAGTAATCAACTTTCGCTGTCATTTCATCTAGTTCATTAAAAAGTTTGAAGAGCTTTCTTTTCGTAACCGTACCGTCGTTGAAGCAGACTTCGTTTGCTTCGTTTGTCTGTGAGATGGTCCCAATGTCCCAATGATTATAAACGTTGACAGTTGATGAGCGTGATGGGCGTGAAGGAGTCCCACTGCACCATGTCTTGGGCGATATGGAGCTGCGTAGAGCTGACGGTGACGAGCGCGAGTGTGACCGTTGTGCTGGTGGGTGGAGGAATATTGCCGCACTCTTCTCACACGCTACTGCTGACGCTGATCATGCTAGCGCAGCTCAGCGTCCTCAGCTTCTGGTAAGTGATGTACTGGTAAAAGACGGATATGCAGCATAATTAACCATTCAATATATACTGCAAGAATTTTGAAATTAAATTCTAACGTTTGACACTTTAAAGAAATTTAATATCAGTTAAAGAAATTTAATATGTTGGTAAACTGTTATCGAATATGCATTACCTACTCGATATAAGTATCGTTATCTGATGCAGCTACATGATGTCGAAGCTGTTCAGGCGCGCCAGTCTGGCAGCTGTGTGCTCCGGTATCGCGTATCTGATCACCTTCATGCCCATCGTCCTCATACTGTCGCTCGAAGCTGTCATCTCCAAAGCTACCAAGATGCTTATTGTAAGTAATTAACATTACTATTATCGGACGAAATAACATGACAACTGTGTCTTGGTGCGATCAGTAGCGACAGTGTAACTGATATGCTTCTACCACCTTCGAATTTTCGAAACACAACTTTTTTGCAAGCTGCATTTTGCACAAACGAATTTTTAGTGTCTTGTTCATTTGTCCGACATGTAACTATATATTGTATTGAAGAGAAGATAGCCCTTAAATATATTTGTTAATTTTTTTTTTTGTAACATTTAAATATTTGTTTTTATGTGTTAGCCTACACTGATGTATTAAAATTACTTTTATACGCACAGACTACGGTCGTAAGTGGTTTTAAAATTTAATAAAATTCACACTTTGTGGGCAGGTACATGCCCCGCTATGGTTTAGCACGGTCGCCGAACAGAAAGAATATCGTTCAATGACTTGGCACTACATTTCTCTTTCACTCGTGCGCAAATATATTGCTATTGCACTCACACAGATTCATCTACCCATTTTGTCATAGTAAAGTAAACCTAAAATATTGACGATATCTATCAGTAGGCACAAAGGTCAATGTACGAAATTGGTCCTGTTCGGCGATCGTGCTGTACCACAGCGGGACCTGGGCATGCCCACAACTTGTGGTAGAGTGTAAAGTGGTGTAACGTTGTGTGGTAGTGCCTGTCGATGTCGTCGTCATTGTGTTACGCGTTCCTGCACGTGGCGCGGCACGAGGCACGTGGCGTGGGCGCGCACTGGGCCCAGCTGTGGGACGAGCCCCAGCCCCACGACCTGAGCATAGGACTCGCCGCGCTAATGATCGCCCTGGACACTGTGATATACGCAGCTATAGGGTGGACAATAGACTACTTCTACGGTGAGGCAACCTGCATATTAAAATATACAGGGTTATTTGTGAAACACCAACAACCTCCCTTATGACTAAATAGCCAACTTCATATAAAAGCAACGTTTGTTCTTTGATTTTAAATAATTCATAATATTTTGCTTTCGTACTTAAATTAAGCAGCTTCAATGTCTATAACACTATGCACAATACCAATATGCACGTATTTGACACAGCGCATAAGCATAGCATTTTCCTTCAGTTCATAAATAAAATAACGTACGAGTATTTTGTCACGACAGTACAAAAGAACTTGAAAATCATGCATCGTCTATTCCTGGGAGGTGCTGTCGTTTTAAAAATAACCCTGTATAGTATAATCTAATTCTAAACAATCTAATACTATAAATTAGAATATCTAGTCAAACAGTTCATAGTGGCTCCAGCGAATCGACTTGATGGTTTGAAACAATTTAATATTTCTACGACAGTCCTCCAGATCTAAATGAAATTTTGTTAAATTATATTACTGTACTAACTATTTTCAACTCACACAGCCAGTGAACTTTTAAATTCCAATTTCTCAATACTGAAAATTACATTTAACTAAATGAGGGATTCATTTAGGTTTGAAAACATTGCAAAGCTGCATCGTCCACTGTGACGCCACAGAGGAGAAAGCCGGAGTGAGCATCATGAACGTATCCAAAGTGTACGGGGATGGCACCAGGTCACGGAAGGTGGCGCTTAACAATGTGTCTATAGAACTGCACAGAGGTCAGATCACCACGCTGCTCGGACACAACGGCGCCGGGAAAACCACCCTTATGTCAGTATACATACAACACACCCCACACTACTCATACGCCATCACCACTAAAGCTCATACCTACACCTCACATTCAGGCATCCATGTCTTAAAGCTGACGACACCCATGTCAGTATCTTTGCCTGTCAGTATTGCGTCACAATGAATGAATGAATGAATATACTTTATTGCGTACAAATACAGTTATACAAAACATTTACAATCAAAACCAAACACAAAAGGCGGCCTTATTGCTAAGGTAGCAATTTCTTCCAGGCTACCCTTGACTAAAGGAAATTATACCAATTAAAGAAACGAGTGAGTAGTGAGTTGATCTATGATAAATGTAAATGTACTACATAATTACTATAAAACAGAAATACACACACACATATATATATATATACTCATACATAACAATGTATCTATCTAATACAACGCACGTTAAAATTTGTAATATTAATACGACATATACTTATGAATAGTCCTTTTATGTCACTACCAATCCACAAAAAACAGTAATAAAACAATCTTCAGATAATAATTTAAAAGTTGTTGACGACGCAAGCAGTTAAAATGTCATTTGTATATTGGTTTAGAAACATCTTGACGGGCATGTTGAAGCCTAGTAGCGGTCACGTGGTGGTGCGGGGAGGTGATCAGGGTGAAGAGGGCGCGGGGATCGGTGTGTGTCCTCAACGTGACGTGCTTTTCCCGAACCTGACGCCCAGAGAACACATCACGCTGTATGCCCAACTGAAGGCACGGTCTCACTACCATAACGTCAGGGATGAGATACAGAAGTGAGTAGGCCTGTTTAATAACAACTTGCGACTTATAACAGTTGGGTGATTCCTGAGAGTGGCGTTATTGAATTGATTTTCCTGGTTCATTTTGAAGTCTCAAAATAACGAGTATGTTTTGGATCAGAGTTAAATTAAGAGCTTTAGTTCGATAGGCACCTATTTCTATGTCACAATTTCCAAGACATTTGATTTTGAAAGTTCAGGCAAATCAAAAATAAAACAAATTTCGTTGAAAATCACTGTTTGACGCTTATTTATATTCCAAAACATATTTTTTATTTTTTTATTGCAATTTGATACTGAGACACAATCAGCTATATCAAATATTTTTGCTTATAGTAAACTTAAAAAGTCACTTAAATGACAACCCAGGAAAGTAAATTTTTAGTCATTTTAATAATAAAGAAAGTATATAAATAAAGTATTTTTCTCAAATGGTTTTACAACAAGATTGTAATTCGAGTTTATGTGAAAAAAATACGTAGCCAAATACCTCCTCCCGGACATCCAAACAGGGTGGCAAGTCGGCAAAATGCCATGGGCCCCCAGCTGAAAGAGGCCCCCGGTCAGAGGAGACTCCTTACTCCTGACATTTATTATTACGCAATTAAGCTACGGTGGCAATAAATAATAAAATAAATAAATATTTAACAACATCACATACATTGCTCAGATTCCAAGATGAGTAGCTAAAGCCCCCGTATTATGGAGCATCTGATGCAACGTAGGTACCACAACACCCAGACCCGAGTCAATATAGAAAAGTTCATTTTCATTGACCTGACCGGGAATCGAACCCGGGACCTCAGAGAACCTTGAAACCGGCGTGCGAACCACTCGGCTACGGAGGTCGTCAAGTTCGGTGGTCGATCTGTCCTAGTGATGTATGTATATATGTACACATATGTACATATATGTCCGTATATATGATGGTGCACGCAATGCAGCATGGTGCGCGCGTTGTCGCTGGGCGGGGCGTGTGACCGGCGCGTGTGCCGGCTGTCCGGGGGCACGCGCCGCCGGCTCTGTGTGGCGCTCGCGTTCATACACGCGCCCGCGCTCGTCACGCTCGACGAGCCCACCGCCGGCGTCGACCCCGCCGCCAGGAGGTACTACTGCTCTCACTGTCACTGTTGTAACCAATGGTTTTGTGCATATAAACAATTACTTTGTAGTATTTTATGTTTAAAAAAATGTATTTTTGCAAATGCCACTTGCAATTGGCAATTAACTGTGGATTACAAGAACAGGAACCGGCTATGGCGAAGTATCATGTGACGTCACTTTTCAATAAACTAAACGGCAACCTGAACTGGGTTTATTTAAAAACACCTTTTGAAGGAAATCAAACCTGATAGTGTTTAATATAATTATATGAAGGTCTCGCTCGTACGCCACTTAGCTCGTACGTAGAACTTGGTAGGTGATAATAGAATATAGCGAAATTGAGAAAGGAAGGGGGTGAATCATTAATACTTTACCGATTATTGTATTGGGTCACCAATTTACCGAAATGTTATGTGGTTTATTTATTAGTATATAGGTTGATATTTAACTTATTGATAAGTTTACTATCTGACTCTATTTATACGAAGGATCGGTAAAATAAATAAACGTGTTCACAGTTATGAGTTTACTTTCAGACTAGTTGATGTTGAAGTGCCACTTATAAAATACAAAATATCATAGATTACGTTGCCACAGAGTGGTCGACAAAGATTATAAAACAGATGTGCCACAATACAATCAATTATATTAAACAGAATTTAATCTCATGCAGCCGATAGAGATCACAAATACAGTAGTGAAGAGTAAACGTCGGGAAGGAGTAAGCTTGCAATAAGTCGGAACTTCTTATTTTCTCCTGCTTTAATAAAATGTATGTGATGACATTATCATCTTCGAGAAGAACCATTTAGAATGTGTGTTCAATCATATTTTAATGACTTACATTAACTAAATAAGTACTATGTGTATGTCGCAGTCGAGTGGCGTGGTCGGCCGGCTGACTGGGTTGCTAATTGTGCCGCTTGGCTGCGACATATACATATACATACATATACATACAAATACAAATATATAATATATATGTACACAATACTCACCCACGAACTCATTCATTCATTAATTTTGGTTCTTGTTAACATTAAAATATGTACTTGCTACAAAGCTGGAGTGAAATGGTCCCAATACAAGTATTTTATATTACTTACTGGGATAATTTCAAGATTGTAAATGATGGAAATAATGTTAATAAAGAACATTTTTATTTTTTATTTATTTATTACATACGGAACGTATGTGATAAACTAATTTCGAGGAGGCATAGTACACAAGGTCAAACGCCACATCCAGAAACACCAGACGCCGGACGCAATCTGTGGCGTTTGTTACAGTACTTAATAATAATGTATATTAACATTCAGGGCGATCTGGTCGTTGATCGTCCAGTTGCGTCAACATCGCACCATCCTGCTCACGACGCATCACCTGGACGAGGCGGAGCTGCTCAGCGACAAGCTCGTCATCATGCACAAGGTAATACTCTACATCTGGCATACTTTATAATGAATGCCACAACGTATAAATTCTTCCTTAATTCCGACCAGCTATACTAATTTTATAAAGAGGAAAAGTTTCTATCTCTATTTGTTTGTGGGAATTAATCTTCGGTTAATCTTCGGAAATACTGATCCGATCATGAAAATTCTTTCATCTACGGGAAGCTGCATCATAAAAATTAATTATTTTAAGTGAAATAACAATCGTCGTAACATCTCATTTGGAAGTTACCTGGAACGATAGACAGATAGACATAAAATTAGAAGAGTGAATATCTGTACGTAGGGAGAGGTGCATACGAGCGGATCTCCATTAGAGATAAAGCAGTTGCTGGGTCGCGGGTACCGGCTGTCGGTGTTGTACCCGGGCGGTGACCGGACGGGGCTGCAGCACAGCCGTCGCCTGCTGCTGCACGCCGTCCGGCAGCTGCAGCCCGCCGCCACGCTCGTCCCCGCTGTGGGACTGGACGTCGAGCTGATACTACCCAGACAACATCACACGCAACCGAACCTGTGAGTCACTCGCCTTTTATAAAACGACTTACAGAGTTCATCACCAGCCTATGAGTGTCCCCACTTCTGGGGCTCAGGGATTTCCTATAGATGAAATCGAATTGAATCGTATAGAGAAAATGGGCCACTACTCACCACGCTGGCCCGATGCGGATTGGTGGGTATTAACAACTGCAGATGCTTTACATGCCTTTCGAATCACGGAGGAGTTCAAGATTGTAAACTTGTATTCACCTGACCTTTGCGAAATTGTGAAAATGCCCATTGCGAAACTTGCTTGACAAACGTATCGCAGACCGAGCGCGCTTAGCACTGCGCCATCGAGATCATCTCGGCGTTGAAACGTACAGAGGTGGAACATAAACAATAAAGAATGGTAATAAGCGAGTTCGCAGTGTACCTGGTGTATAATGGGGATATGAACATGCTGATGATAAATTCTTAGAACTAAGTTTGAACTAATTTTTTTCAGGAGCTCACTCTTAATCCCTAGTTTTCATATCTTGTGCTTATCTTACAAATTATCACCCTTTTGGTAAATAAAAAACTATATGACGTGATTCTGGCCATCCTTCTGATAATAATCGGCCATTGCGCAAATCCTGCCCTATCTAAGTTTTCGCTCCCTTAAATATATCTCCCGAGTCGTAGTTCCCTCTGCCTATTTATATATCTTTCGACTCCGATGTGTTACAATCACAGATGAAATTGAGTTGGGTTAAGAGTATAATCCGAATATGTTTGCCGGTTAGTTATCTCCAAGTGTGCGAAATGCTGGAGAATCAGCAGGAAGTCCTGGGATTCAGTGACTACACGCTGGAATGCAGCGGCCTGGAACAGATCCTGGCAGACATCTGCAACCAAGGGGAACAAAACGGTCGGTACATAGCATACCAACAATACTTATTCTATATTTTCACTCCAAATCTTCTACGAAGTAGGCAGGTAGAACTAAACGCGACATGGCACAGTCATTATACTTCTTTTGCTCCCTTGACATTGATGGAACTGACTTAGCAAAAATGATTTTTTTTAGTATATGTATCCTACAAAAAAAACTTATTAAATTGGAAATAATATAACTGACGCTATTTCGGAGCTTTGTTTTTTATACGTATAAATATTGTAGAATATTATCCAGGTGATACAGAGACGGAGGAGTGGAGCGAGAGTGAGAGTAAGAGTTCGTGTGTGTGGGAGAATGTCCCGCTGGTGGACAGTGAAGGTCCCGCGCGGGGCTCCCTGCTGCAGCAGTTCACCGCTCTACTGCGAGCCAAACGGTTACACTACATGAGGAACAGGTCACTTACATATGTATATCACTATACCGCATATCATTTTTACACATCATTTTGCGATTACATAATATAAAGGACAGATGACCCGGTGTAGTCCGCTAGCCAATAGGGGGCCAGTTAGGACTTTAAGACGTTCTAACTTGCATATAACATATAAGCTCCTACTTTTTTGATTTTGATACTGCATAAAGCTACTTCGTATCTTGATTAATTCAATATTTTTACATAAAATTTGTATTACATCATTTGATCCAATCCGATCAGATTTAATTACTAATAATATGGAATTAAACTTTAATTGCACTACGATAGAATCCGATTCCAAAACAGAAAAAGTCAAGTTAATCAGGATACGCGGTGGGCGGACTGATAGAGATTATGGCCTAAACTTGTTGATGAAGCGGAACTTGAAGTTCATGGAGGATATTATTAATATTTGTCAGTGGTTACTGCTTTGAAAATACAAAAGTCTCAAGGGATTTTTGGATTTTCTGTAAAGCGGGGTATCCACGATCAATAAAAGTTGCAGTCTTCCATAATGTCACGCAAGTCGACCTGGGCAAGTTTTGGTGACTTGGCAAACTTACTAAAAGCCCACGTGTATAGCCGATACAAAATTACACTCAGTGGACACGACAGTAAGCAGTTGGACAGTCCGCGTTACGTTAATGAACCAATCCCCAATATTTGCTTTATTGATGATACAGATGGCTATCATTCCTGATGGTGTGTGTACCGGCCTTGTTCGTGTGTGTCGCCATGGGGTTCTCTAAGGTGCGGCCCCCTGCTGATAACGAATTACCTCTCATGCTCACACCGTCATTGTATGACACCACAGATTTCCTTATGTGAGTATACAAATATTCATTTACCGATAAAGCTTCCATTATGTAATATAGAAACACATAATAAGAAAGAACTATAATCGCCCACACCCACACACAGTCTACTGCAAGTTGATATTAACGATTGCAGATGCAGTAACAAGCAAATAGCTATAGAAACCTATTTATTCCACAATACAGATTACTCTCGCCAGGACATACAGGAATAACCAATCAATACCTTACTGCTCTTGGTGCATGTTTGACAATTATTATAAGTAACTATTATTCACAGACCGAGTCCATCGTTATACTCGGACCGCGTGGATCCATCTTTCGCCGAACACGTGATGGAGGTCCTAATGAGAGAGAAGAACGCGAGGAATTGGACCGAAATGGTGAGACTTTCATTAGATAATAAATATAATTAACTGTTGGCGTATTGTGTGGTCGAAGGCTATTTACTTTTTTAATTTTTTTTTACAAGGTTAAAATCCAATTTAAGTTTTTCCGAATGAAACGTTGCGTAAAAGGGACGCAAAGAGAGTTATTTTTATAAAATAATTTGATATGACAAAGGACAATCCCACCTGCGAGTGTGGGGAGACCCGGCAGGTGTGTCACTTCCACAACACGTCGCTGCCGCAAACAATGTTGCTGCCAAACGTAACCACACTCAACGATTGGTTGATCAAGACGCAGGAGTTATATATAGAGAAAAGGTTGGTGTAACTATTTCTAATTAGAAAGCTACTTGATGTTCGTTGTGAAAAATTGAAAGAGAGGTACATACGCTGAAAAATCTACATGATACCAAATTATTTACATATGAAAATGCGTGTAAGCAAGTATATATACAAATAAACATAACAATTATGCGTGGACCACGACCAAGTTGTGCTACATTATATGTAAACTCGCACGGTGTTCAGATACGGCGGATTCAGTACGTCTCTGGTGGGTGACGCGAGCGTCCTGGTGTCGTGGTACAACAACAAGGGTCATCACGCGCTGCCCGCCTTCATCAGTCAACTGAACTCCGCCATCTTGAAGGCCACCACCGGAAACTATCACGCCAATATCACCACATACTCGCATCCCATGAAGATATCCAAGGAACCCCTCAGTAAAGACACCGTGTGAGTATTCAATACCACCAGAATTTTCCCCAATACTCAATCGTTTATTGCAAAACTATTGTGTTTCATAGTTAGTATTATTAGAATGAGACTCTTGAAGATACTGATTTCTTATATTTTCACGCACAATAAAACAATTTTGAAAGGGTACAACGTGTTTATAAGATGTTTGGGACCCTTTACAGGTTCCTTGTTCACTTAAGGGTACACGGAATCTGTATAGGGTCCAGAATGTCTTGAAATAAACGTGCTGTACCCGTTCAAAATAGTTTTATTTAACTATAGAACCTGTTCGACACAGCAACAGTTTATAAAAATTATGAACTTCATGTCAAAAATAATATCAGTCTGGCAATAATCCAGTTACAGTACTACAACTAAAGAAACAATTATCCTGAAATATATGTCTGTATTTTAAATATTAAACAAATATTGCTCGTTAGAAAAATGATTACTTGGAAAAATAACCCAAGATAAGAAAGGGGCATCTCCACTCCTTTGGTGCTTCATAGCACCTACTTGAATGACCCCATAAAGAGAAATGGTCGTTTAAACAAATAGAATTAAAACACGGCTTACTCTTGAACGCAATCTCAATTTCAATCCAATTGCGATCTTAATTTTCGTCAAATTGTAATTCGTACTCTTGAAATATAATTCTTGAGTATAGCTAATGAGAACATAAACCAGAAGTAAGTTGCACACGGTCTCAGCAAATGATGGTCACAACACATATGTTATGCTAACGCTGAAAGAAAGAAAGAGCGGATATGGATTATAACAGCACAAACACAATATAATTTGGTTTATTCAATAAACACTCAATATTAACGCGACTGGCGCTAGCGTCGCACGTCATGAGTATCGAACGCCAAAATTCCAAGGCCGATCGATTTGATTTCAAGAATATGCTTTCACCCGGCGAGTTCCTACAACAGTCTGGGTACGGTACGATGTAGTGACCACCGATTGAATATGTAAACAGTTACGTGTACCTATGTGGTAGATACCAGCACGTGGCGGACGCGGGCATCTCCGCGCTGGTCGTGCTGGCGTACTGCCTGGTGGTGGCCGCGTGCTGCGTGACCGTGGTGACGTCACGCGTCACGCAGCAGGCGCGGCTGCAGCTGCTCACCGGCGTGCCGCCAGCGCTGCACGCGGCGGCAGACCTCACCGCCGACATGATGGTTACTATCTATAAAAAATATACGCATTTTTCGATATTTTATGATGCAACGGCACTAGGAACTAATACTGCCTCTGATGCATTTTAATTTAAGTTTTGTCGATCTATTTGGGTCGACAAAAATTAAAATAAATAAATATATGGACAACATCACATGCATTGATCAGATTCCGATATGAGTAGCTTAAGATGAGTATTAGCTTACGTTACGTACTGTGACGGCACCGCTGTCTTCAGGAGCTTTGACATTGTTTTATATACTTTGCTTGTCTTCATCTGAATTTTACTTTATTAATAATTTTATGGTGAGTGGAGACCGGGAGACGCAGTGTTGGTAGGTCCCCCACAAGGTGAACCGACGATCTGGTGAAAGTCGCGGGAAGCCGCTGCATGCGGCAGGCGCAGGACCGATCGCTTTGGAGATCTTTAGGGGAGGCCTATGCTCAGCAGTGGATGTTTCTCGGCTGAATTGATGATAATGATGATGAATAAATATATTGATATTTTAAGGTGATCATCATCAACATAGTGATCACCGCTGTCCTGATGGAGGTGTTCCATTTCCCTGTGTTCGTGGCACGAAACAACCTGCCCGCTATATGCCTACTCATATTTCTCTATGGGTAAGTTAGTGCAATGAATTTAATGTTGTTTTCTGTATTTTTTATTATTAAAATACCAATATAAAGTATTATTTTCAAAAAAGCCACCAATCATTAATTAATCTTTATTAAGCATCTCATCATTAAGAATATTCTACTGGTACTATGAAATAATACTTAGTTTGACAGTCCTTTTTTTACGATGGGAAATGCATTACTGCATACCTCGCTTACCTACACGGGGCCTGGAAGGTGGCTAGTCTAATTTCTGATTTCGTTTGAGGGTAAGACAGACAATGCTACCAGGCGGTGCCCTGGTGCACCCCTCCTTTTATACCTCAAGCCCCTTTGCAGCATTTCTAATGTTGGTGTCTGGTACGTCAGGTTTGCGTGCTGCAGCCTGATGCACGTGTTGGAGAAGTTATTCAACGAGCCGAGTGTTGCCAACATGTTGCTGTTCTGCGGGAACGCGTTCCTCGGCCTCGGCGGACTTACCGTGCTGCTGATACTCGACCTCATCTCACAGTCAGAGGTAATGGCATACTAATAATAAATATCAGCTTGAGCTAATAGGACTCGCGTAACGAAAGTTCCCCGAAAAATATTATTTTTTTAAAAACTAATGATTTTTATAATTTTCCTCTAATGTTTATCTTTAGGTAATCTTAGTTTCCCCTGGGGCAAAAAGTTTTCATCTAGTTCATGCGGAAGTAAATGTCCCTCTTGAGGTTATTGATCTTCTGGCATACTGGTATCGTGAACAGACCTGTGGTGGGGTTCGGAACTATCAAATAGATACAAACATTCGCGTGGAGCGAGACAGGGGGTCTTACCTCTCCTGATCTGTTCAATGTATTGTATATGTTAATGACTTGATTGTGGAACCGAGCAGGATTGTACAGATTGGATGATATACATATATATCTCTATCAACAACCTGAGCTACGCTGATGATATGGTGCTACTCAGCCCCTCGATTAAACGTTAAGGAAAACTTGTAAAAATATATGAAAACTATGCAAAAGAACACTATCTTGCAAATAATATAAAAAAAACTGAAATGATGATTTTCAGATCCGGAAACGGTCCTTTGAATGTACCAACAGTTTGTCTTAATGTTGAACCCATCATAATAGTAAATACGTCCTTGAACATATTACAATCCTTTTACCTTGGCCACATTTTAATTGATTGCTTAATAGATGATGCCGATATTGAACGACAACGTAGGGCTCTCTGTGTGTTGGGTAATATGATTGCCTGAAAGTATTGTAAAGCTTCTAATGATGTGAAATTAACGCAATTTTTTGTACATGTCAACTCTCGACTTAATATCTAATAAGACCGAACGGTTATTGCAGTGCCTTTGAAATTATCAAAGAAAGTCTGATAATGCTATAGTAAAGAGTCTAGCGAAAGACTTTTGCAAACTATAACATACAGATGATGGATAGATACTGCCACCTGAATCTATGTAATATAAAGACATGTATACTATGTAAAAATTTTATTTGGAGTCAAATGTTTCTGTAATTTATAATTTAATATTGATCACTGGGTCTGAGATAAAGATTTATTATTACTATTGTATCTTGTACGTGTATCGCTTATTCTTCGTCTTATTAGCCAAAACACATCTCGAATGATAATATTGAACGTATCTAAATTCCTTATTTAGATAAGGAGTTATAATTTTGACTTTATAATAAACCTCCGGAAATAAAAAAACTATTTTATTTTTGAAAAATTACACATATTTTAAGATTAACTGATTTCGAGAACATTAAGCTCCCATACCTGTTATGTTTGGTAAAAATATTCGTGGTTCGTATTGTTCAGAGGACTGACGACGCTCGCTGGGTGTTGCACAAGGTCTTCATGTTGGCACCACCGTTCACTCTGGGCGACGGGTTACTGGAGATAGCCAAGAACACCATACAAGCACAGGTATCAATCTATATAAATTGACAAAAAAAGGAGACATCGTTTTGAAATCTTTCTCTAATATTATGTCATTATTTGTAGGTGTTGTCACGTTTTGGCATGGACACGTACAAGGATCCGTTCAGCTCAGACCTAGTTATCTACCACTACCTGTACCTGATCCTGGTCGGATGCACTCTGTTTCTGCTCAACCTGGCAATAGAGTACCACTGTTTCGACGGTCTACTCGACAAGTGAGTAAATCCACTTATCGTAACTGTTTTATTAATTTTTACACATAAATACATTCACTGTGTGCAAAAATAGTATTACCCTAAACAGTTTGAAAATATATTAGTTAACTAGATTCTTCTAAAGCTATACCTATTGTTTGAAATTGTCTGAAATGATATAAGTATCAAACTCCGCTAAGCAGGCTGTTATTTAACATTCTTCAATAGTATTCGATTTTGTTACACTTTTTTGCAAACATATTTTGTTATATACTTACATAACTTTGCTGGTGTGAAGATGGTCACGAACGTCGGAAACGCAACTGTCCTCATCATTCCTTATTTATTCAAAATCCAATACCATTTATTCAGTCTAGTCTGTTACAAATACTGTTGAAATTCCTAATGCTTTCGATTCACTGATCTATGGCGTGATATCTTTTACTGAGCATAACCTACATGAAGCTTAACGTGTGCAGCCTTTATCTTTTTTTTTTATTTCGTACAAAAGGTCCTTATTTAAAAACTGAATACTAAAAATAACAAAAACCGATAGTCGTTTATTGTTATGTATCAGGTTATATCGGTCGGGCGGTGGGGGCGCGTGCTCCGGTGAGCTGGAGCGGCTGGAGGTGGCGGCGGAGAGGCGGCGCGTGCAGTCGGCCGCCGCGCGGGCGACGCACGCGCCACTGCGCCTGCGCACCATCGGCAACATCAACGCAGGTCAGACAAACTTCACGTTGGCTTATACTGGATCTTACTACATTTTTTAAATGATTATACTAAACATTTGACGCTTAGGATACAGCTTATTATAATCTCACATAATATACGCGATTCGAACCCAATTCAAATTTGATTAAAGCGATCGCCACTGTACTCCTCCGGGTGACCGTAATTGGGGTCCGTAAAAATCTAATGGTACTCTTCTACCGCTGAATGTCCGCTTAACTTTTTTCTGTATATCCTTCAAAATTTGAACCTCGCGAGTCGTATGCCTTTGTTCTCAATGAAAAATATTTAGGCTCTCTGCTCGCAAGCTTGAAAGTCCTTAAACGTCCTCAATACGTCATCGTCAAATTATAAACTATCGTTTATTAGAATTTAATTTACTTTATAATACATCTATACATATTATAAACTTAAACTTTAATGTTTACTTATACTTAAACTTTAATGGTAACATTTAAATCGAAACTTATTAATTAACAAAAGGTATTTATTAATGCAGGTTTCGTGGACGACTCGGATAAGAAGCGTGAGGGGAGCCCTGGTTGGGGTGCGGGGGGCGGGGAGCTGGTGGCCAGCTGTCTGCAGCTCACCAAGACGTACCGCCCACACTCGCGGCCCGCGCTCGCCGGCCTCACGCTCGCGCTGCCCGCCGGGGAGGTATGCATATTGTAACCATTTTTTTTTGTTGTCAAAACGGGACGCCTACGCAATTTTGGATATTTATAAAAAAATATATATGTCGATGTAAAATGATATATTTGAAAATGTGACTCGAAAGTTGTGGTATCATACCCTCCCTGACACGCTCTCCGAGGGATTTTAGTGAAATTTTAATGTAGACAAGTAACTAAGTAGGTAAAGGTATATAAAGGTTTGTTTGTTAAAGCGGGACGTTTTTATTCATTTTGGGGACAGTGGAACGTATAACTTGAAAACGGGACAATCCCGCCCAAACGATTGTCCCGTTTTCAAGTTAGGTTCAAAAGAACGTATGGTCATATTACGCACCCTCTGTAAAGCGTCATGTCTACCCCACGTTCGTCACGTCACGTCCAGCCACACTCGCAACCCCACTGACTATCTGCCCCCGTCACATTCACCACCTCCACCCGCCCGCCGCTATTCTAATTATACATTATATCGTGTCCCAGTGTACCGCGCTCCTTGGTGAAAACGGTGCGGGCAAGTCGACCACGTTCTCGTTACTGACGGGCCAGCTGAGACCCACCACGGGACAGATATTTCTCAACAACGAACCCGCCAAACATACACAACTCTGTCAGGGATACATCAGTGAGTATCTGTCGTTCATATAATGCATCTTATGTAGCGTATAATAAAGTTTATATTGATTTATTTATTGCACAGGTTACTGCCCGCAAAGCGACGCGATAGATCCCTTGCTCACAGTGAGAGAAACACTGTCCATATACTGCCAACTACGCGGCATACAAGACCAAAACGAGGTAACCTATATCAGCTGTAGATGTAGGTACTATAATGGTCCCACCAGCAGTAGCTCAGGGTTGCTCAATGAAATCCTGGGTGTAATTCTTCAAATTCTCGATTTTGTTTGCAAATAATATACATAAAATCACTTGTAAGTAAATTCTAAGATACTGACTCTATGCCGGTCTCGATCAGAAAGAAAAATTATCAACCAGCAAAACACGAACACGCGAATTCGAATACGGAAAAAGTAATAATTCAAAATATTAACGGCCAGTATTGACTATAGATCGTCCGGAGAGTAAACCTACCTATAGTAATGTGCTCGGACGTTACAGTACCACTAACATATAAAATGTATGAAAATGTTATAGGTATATCTCATTTCTAGTAATCAGACTAGTACAACGCCTTAAACGATCTGTCACAAGATAAATAAACGCCTGTCGCTGTCTGGAAAGAGTTTTTAATTCAAGAAAAAGTAAGTTTATTTAAAAAAAAATAAAAAACAAACACTATTGACCCTTTGTGTCTAGGTAATAAGGCGCACGGTGGATATGTTCGAGTTGTCTCAATACGCGGACACTAGCGCCGGCGCGCTCAGCGGCGGCAACAAGAGGAAACTGTGCACCGCCATCGCGTTCATGAGCAGGTCACCACTAGTGCTGCTCGATGAACCCACCAGGTAATGATTGTTCTTATTGCTAGTGGCTGTTTCTTCACGTAAATTGTATAGTCTATAACATCCGCATATGATATAATTGAAGTTTACCCCCTATCAACCAATAAAACTAGAAATTGCAATTTTATCCCTAGATAGACAGAATATTTATTTCCACTTTAGCGGATATTAATGTTTGAAGAGATTCGGCTTTTCTATTCTCTATAGACAGATAGAACTTTGAAATGTAGGGTCAAATGTTACTGGGTTTATATTTTTATTCAAGTTTATTAGTGGGTGCATATTAGTACATATTAGCGATTGGCAGAGCGAGTAGTAAATCAACTATAGAGTCTGTTTATTTACCGCTTTTCTGAGGGTTTTGAAATACAAATATAAGTTTTAAAATGCTAGATGGTAATTTATAGTTTCTCATTGAAAATGTGAAGAAAGAATTAAGTGGAAGAATGTTTCGTTGCAACCATTGCGCAATTTTATGAAAACCGGATTATGCAATTTCAAATACTTCCTTCCATGAACTATTACTTGACACAAGGGCAGTATCATTAAAAAAATGACCATTTAGTTTACCATTAGTTTGGGTTTACAAAGTTCATTAAAATAAATTAAAAATAGCATCGGACCGAGGATACTGCCCTGTAGAACACCATAGGCGACTGGAACCTCATTACTTAAAAATATGCTAATTTTGACCCGCTGAGACCTATTAGTGAAATAGTACTTGAATAGCAAAAGCGCTATGCCACTGACACCAATACGCTCCATCTTATTTAAAAATAGGGGAATTGAGACCGTGTCAAATGCCTTGGCTAAATCAAAGAAGATACCTAAACACTTATCGTTCTGTTACTATGTCCATGAACGTCGTCATCAGTACTCTTACCCAATCGGAAACCAAATCGTGACTCGGAGAGTAATTTGTTTGATAAAAAAAAACTAGACTTTGGATAAAACAAGCAACAGTACAACAATGAGTAATTGATTACATTTGAGCTCAATTGAGTTTGAATTTACTTAATACTCAATCGCGTGTAAACCAGCCATAACGTAGTGTGTTGTGTGTAGCGGCATGGACCCCGTGTCCCGCGCGTGCGTGTCCCGCGTGGTGCGGGGCGCGTGCGCGGGCGCGGGCGGGGGCGGGGGCGCGGCGGGGCGCGGCGTGCTGCTCTCCACGCACCAGTTGCGGGACGCGCGCACGCTCTGCACCAGGGCGGCGCTGCTGCACCGCGGGACGCTGCGCGACATACTACCGTTGCCTCTACCACACGACAGGTATGGAAAATGCAACCTTAACCATCAAACACAGGCTTAAGCGAGGCCGGCCTACCTGGTAAAACCCGCTGCCGGTACCCTTTCGGGGGGGAAGGACCGGCATAGTATGTCTACAGGTACCTACTTAAGACACTACAATACACTAACAGCTTACGGTCGTGAAATTCAACAATAGCTAAAGTACCCCTTTCCAAAATGCACTTACCTACATCAAAGCCCCATACAGTGTTAATTAAAATTTCATATTCCAACATATAGTGTAAAAAATGTAAATACCCTACACTGTTCAATAAAAAACTAACATCGTATCTAATTAATATATGTTAGATAGATAGCTACATAAATTCTTTATAGTTGATATAATATGAAGGAATATGTAGATGGCAGAAATAACGAACAAACTAATTTAGACTTTATTTTGTTCCTAATAAGTCTAAATAAATTTGTTAATAATAATCCAAATTTAATTTATTACGTACATAAGTTCTCGTATGCAATTGTTTTATATCTTTTGTTTTTTGTTGCAATTGTTCAAGTTTTCTCCAAAACTTATGCAATGGGCCACCCATTCAAAATTTCTTTTGATATCCTTAGATTAATTTAGATTTAGGTAAGGAGGCCCTATTAACCTGTGTTTACAAGTTTCTTACGAAAAACCACATCAGGTACTAGTCTCCTCATGACAGAACTTTATATTATAGTGTTATTTCCTACTTATCTATATGAATTCTGTTTGTGGAGAGAAATAAATGCCCTTACAAAATCTTGATGACAGAAGACACCTGTTTCTCTCAACGTTTGTGCAGTCAGTAATGTGTGTGAATCAGGTTCGGGGGTGGGTACGTGGTGGAGTGCCGCGTGTTGGCGGGGCGCGCGCGCGCTGTGTGGGCGATTGTACACGCGCGATGCTGTACGGCTGTGCTGCAGCTGCTGCACCACGCCGCCATACACTTCATGCTGCCCACGCACGCTACAGGTGACGTCACACTACACTACACTACACGTTAACCTATATGTACAGTTGAATACGATGAATCTCTTTCTAAAATTCTTTTTCATTATATTAAAAGCAGGGCGTAACTTTTTTTTTTAATAACCTACTTAGATGGTCTACGTCTTTCATACTTTAAATCTATCTGGTAGATTACAATATAATTAATTACAATATTTTTATTTAATGTTTTACGCATAGGAAATTGCTCATTTTTACAAGACAGCCCAAAAAATATCCTGATGTAATTCATCAATTATTTACATAAAATTTTATGGATCAGACTCTCTAACAGCTGTTGTTACTTATTAGTGAACGAGAAGTCGGTGACGCTGCGACTGAGCGACATATTCCGTCTGATGGACGAGCTGCAGGCGACATGCGACATCGAGGACTATGCCATCAACCAAACTTCGCTCGATCAGGTCAGTAATGAACGACGACCTTTGTAGCTGAGTGGTTCGCTCGTCGATTTTAATGTATCGCCATCTTGAGGTTTCTTGAGGGTTTTATTTATTCGTGTTCTCACTGCTGGGCCAAAACTTCGTCTACCTGGGATGGGATCAAATAAAAGAGAACGTCGACGGCGCAGTCCGATTGGTGGATGTTAAGTTTAACATCCTGCAGGTGCAGCCGGGACCTACGGTTTAACGTGCCTTCAAAAAGCACAGAGGAAAACAAGAAAATAAAATGTTGGTCACCCATCCTGTTTCGTAACCATTGTTTCGTCGAAGCAATCATAAGCACTTGTGTCATATATATAACTCAACACCCATATTCGAGATAATATGGAGTAATTATTTTCAATATCTTTTAGTTTTTATAATATAGTAATATTATTAAAAATTATTATTTCCATATTATATTATTGTCTTATAATTTTAGTATAAAATAAACATCAATATATGCAGATGTTCCTGAGTTTGTCTGACAACGTCGGTTTGGAGGATGATTTTGTGGAGGTGGAGCCGCTGCCCACCGCGGTCATACACGATGCGGACACGACGCGTGACGTCACCGCTCTATAACAAACGCCCACACCCCCTCTTGGGGCAGGGGTAAGCTCAACCTTTGAACAGAAGTACCTACATTATCAAACTTTAAAAAAATGTGAGAATATATATAAAAAGATGATGAGAATATATAATTTAAACTTTCTATAACTGTAGGTCACCATAATCATTGAAATGTTCGATAACAATTATGTTATACGCGTGTAATAGCAAGCCGAATAATGCAATTAATAACATTAGTTCCTAACTGTTAGATACAAAACAGACGAAAATCTTGTAGGACGGAATATAATTATTGCTCAATACAAAATAACCGTCCGAAATTATTAAAAATTAGTAAAATTTTCTTTATAATGTTTATTATGATATTTCTAATATTTCGTTTGTATTTTTGTTTAAATTGTATCTATTTCATAAATCATATGGGATATTTTTTTATTTTTAAATTTTATTAGGGCACTAAGAAAATATTTGTGAGAAAATGTCTAGGTTGTGAATTTTGTATATATTCAAATATATGTCTTATTGACGAAAATTATTATCATTGTGTTAAGGTTTTTCTATGTAATAATAACATTATTTAATAAATGTTGCAGCATCAGTGATTGAAAAATATGAAGAACTTATTTTTATACCAAACTGGTTCACAGGTCTTAATATAGGTATCCCGGGTTTCCGGTATTTAATTACCCGAATAAAGATTTAAGAATATCTGACGAACGCTATTTTAATATAAATATATATTGTATTGTGTCTACTTAAAAGTAAACGAATCATATTTTATACACAACTTTGCTAATATTTGTTTACCTACTAATAAGTCGCGCGAATCTAGAAGATATAGACAGACTTCTGAATGTATAAGCACGAGTAAATAAAAACTCGAAATAATTTAGATTATTTTCTTTTTAGTTTGTAGTTGTTTTGAGTAACAAATTTTTAAACTCCGAATCCCAACGTCATATCCATACTAAGACATACGATTTTTTTTATCGATCTGACGACTTTCTTTTTTATTTTGAAAAAAATCTATTATTCATAAGCTGTTTTGTAATTTGATGTATATTACTATAGCATTACGAGAAATGATACAAATGTTATTATTATAATTGAGTTATAACGCGAGCTCTGTGATATTTAACTTTTTAAAAGATAAGAAATAAAACTTTCAAATTATTTATGGGAATTGTATTTTATTATTATCACATAATGGTGAGTATTATAATTGTAAATTATATAAATATTGTGTCATAAAAGCTAGTCAAAATATTCCAAGTCTTATCACAAGTAATGCTTTGGTATTTAAAAATAAAATTTTAAAAATTTCATCAGTCCATAATAAAACAATATATTATTCTTTATAATATGATATAAAACATTCACTTAAAAATATTGACCCATTTCAACCGCTACATGCTGAATCTAAAACCCGCGGTTCCACCGCGTGAATGAAACAATGATGGTTCTATCAAAATAAAGCCCTGGCTATCTAGCTATATGCAGATCATCTGATCTGCACTACGATTCTGTAAAAATCCTGACCCGAATTCGAATTCACTCATGTTTCCGAATTCACGTCGTCTAGTGTAGAAATTCTATTGATTCCGTTTTTCGTATAAAAATACAAAATAAAATTGATTGTACCGTATCTCATATATTCTATTCCTATTTAATTTCGAAACTCACTTCACTTACGCCACCAAACGTTGTTACCAATTAAATATTGAGCGGATGCCGCTTTTTGAACTGAATTCTGACACCAGAGTGAATTCGAATTCGGCTTTGAGTCTTACAGAATCGCAGGGCTGAGCAGATTGGTAGATCAACTGTCAGCTCACCAATTAGGATAGGTCTGCCCAATTCCAGACCAAATCTGATTGGCCTGCTGACAACCGATCTGCCAATTTGACAGATCATAAGGTGATCTCACATCTGTTAGAATTAACGCTTTATACGAAAACAGATGAACCGTCACAGTTCTGTCAACTTCATACCTTTACAATGTGTAAAGGGAATTCGTTTCGTCCGCTTCGTTCGGTTATGATAGATATGCGATGACAATGACGCGGTAGATCCGCTGGATGTGATATTGACCTTAATAATAATCAATGGTTCCGCTGTAGAGTCACGTCCGAACATCTATATACAATATTAACTTTATTACGTTTAAAATAAGAGTCAAAGCTATGACATATATAAATTCTAAAACTGGTTTTGTTGGTGCAAAATATATACATATAATAAAAAAAGAAACATATACAATAAAAAATGAGATCAATTGGAGTCGAACGAAGGGTTCCTTAAAGCGGCGGCCTGTTTGAAATGTACAGCGAGAGCGTCCAGTAGACGGAACCCTAAGTCCTTGTTCAGTGCTTTGTGACTGAGACTGCGCACGGACAGACGGACTGACTTCTCTAAGGTTTCCTCGCCGAATATGTACATCACTGGAAAAAAAGGAAAACTTTAGCAATATACCATTTTGGTGTAACCATAAATATCAAACTTAGTTTATTCACATTAATCACAAAATTAAACGACTCGATAAGGCAACGTCCACAATAATCCACATTATTCTGCTTCAAAAATATTCTTAATTTTCATATATAAGGGGCAATTTTAATCTACACAGAGCTTATTTCGCTCCAAGAAATAATCCAAATATATATTTGCTCTACAATGAAGAAAAGGGATAAAGATTTGTTTTAAAGCTTTACCTTTGGGCAGTTTCTCCATGATGGCGGCGCACGTCTTGTCCAAGTCAGGTTCGGGCGGTGTGTTCCCGAACATGACGCCTCCCCCCTCCGACACCCTCTCGAATACCACGAACACTTGCGAGCGCAGCCACGAGCTCACCTCATCGAGCCACGCCGTTATCAATGCCTCTGCCAATTCTAGAAATGATAACACAAATCTAACAAATATAGTAGACCAGGAGCTGACGGGCCAAATGTGTTAGTACATGGGGTGCTAACATATCGCGTACTGATATTTTTACAGATGACAGGACTCGGCTCTCGGAGTATGTACCTACAAGTGTAAAACATTTAATGATGTTTTTTAGGAAAAAAAATGGGAACCACATTTGCTCAATTAATAATAATATGTCGTATAGAAAAATCAATCAATAGATATGAAAAGCAATCATTCATTTTAGACATCTTGATCCATAGTAACATTGCTGACTTAAATTTTATTTAATTTTTCAAAACGTCCGGGTTCGATTCACGAACTAGTTTTTTAATGTAAATTTCTTTTCACTGAAATCGATGACATGGTTTGCTAAGAACAGATCTTTGTTATGTCTTGTAGTCTGAGACTTTCACATCCTGTATATAGCGAAATAGGAGGGGCTAAACTGTACAATGTATGTACGTATGTGTGCGTGTATACCGGCCAGTAGGAGCGTGGCGAGTGTGTGCGTGACGTGCGAGGTGCAGAGGGCGGCAGCGGCGGCCAGCTCCCCCCCCGCACACCACCCGCGGCCCGCGCTCCCCACCCACTCCTCTACACGCGAACAAATATACAGGGTTACTTCACCGGCATCAGTCTATTCATTTCATTTTATTTATATTATCTACGGAGAACTTACGCCTCGGTAATGCGATGTATGAACATTTATATACAAAGACTTCTATGTACCCTAGTAGACAAACTGTTCGGTACTGGAAGATTGCGCGCTCGTGCTTTGTCATAATATCAGTTGAAAACAACTTGTCTATCATTATACATGGAAATTTTTGTTTGTATATAGAGAAAAACTAATTACAAGTTTCCACTTGTGCTACTCTTACGCATTAGCATGACGAATAAACGAAATTTAGTATTTTTTCGATATGCAATTACGGACTCTAAAGAAAAGCATTTATGATGCAACAGTGGTAAGACTTGACATTTCCTCTGATGCACAGATAATCTTCGCGAGAACGATTTTAGCTAAATTATATAACGATTCAAAATTTTTTGAATTTCCACTCGTCGACAAATAGAATAGGCCCTCTTTTGTTATGTTTTACACACAAGTTATAAATGGTTAAAGTATTAAAAGAAAATGTCCCACTACTGGAGCACGGCCCTTCCCTGTGAATACAACCGACTCGAGCAAGGACAACAGATCATAACACCCCATCACGGGACTTTATGGATTGGTGGATGTAAACGACAACTTAACGTGTCCTCTGGAGCATAAATGAGCTTGATAATAACTTTTTAGTACTATAAAGCGTTTCTTGTGAGAGTTGAACTCACTAACGACTCCTTATTCAAGATTATCAATAAAAAAAAGTTGGTTAGAAATGTCCAAATCAAGAGGGACCGTAAAATCAAGACTGACCCTGTATAGATCACTGCGCCCGGCGATGCGTCAAGGGACAAGAGATGACCAATTTAACGGTAATTTTTTAATTATTTAGCGGTGAAAAATTACAATATCTTATATATAGTGTAAATGAAAGTCGCTTCCCGAGATTTTTTAAACTACATATGTAAATAATCTTAGTCGATAATAATAGCATCTTATCCGTCTGTTATGAGCTTAAAACGTATACAATAGTTGATATAAAGTCAAAATCAAAATATATTTCAAATTATTCAAATAGACTTCTTAAAAGTACTTTTGAATCGTCCAACATTTTTTCCCTACCACTCATTCAGGACGTCTTTTGGTTGATAAGAAGAACGAGCAAGAAACTCACCAGCTCTAATATGAGTAATGACATTTACATAAACCATGTCATTACCAGATCAATACATTGTAAATAGAGAGAGAGAGAGAAAAAAAACTATGGTCCTATAATGATAACATGATATATACGAGACCTAGGTCCTCCGGCGGCGGTGGGGGGTGTTGCGGTTGCGCTAGGTGCGTGAGCGAGTCGAGGGCGTGGTCCACGTGCGCGAGTGCACGCCGCGACCCCACCAACCGCGACACCGCGCCGCACACCTGCACACGTCACACGCACGTCACACACACGTCACACACACGTCACACACACACACGCACGCACACTGTCTGCTGCAATCTTGTCTCGCTCCATTGTTAATAATAGTACTGTAACGTCCGTGCACGTTACTATAGGCAGGTTTACTCTTCGGACGGTTTATGGTCAAGTGCTGGCCGTTAATATTTTAAATTATTACTTTTTCTTATTCGAATTCGCGTGTTCGTGTTTTGCTGGTGAATAGTCTTTTTTTTCTGATCGAGACCAGCTTAGAGTGAGCATCATAGTATTTGGTTGTAAGTGTGCTAATGTAATACTAATACTACATGAAAATAAATCAAGACTGAGGAGTTCTACCAGTTTTTTTCATTGCGCCACCCACCTCCACCATTAGCCATAAGTTGCCATAAGTCGCCATAGTACCCAATAACAATAACAGGGCTACCGAATTTAAATTGAAACTCATGTTCAAGTTCACTTATTTATTTGAGGTTTCCGCTCCGGTGAACAGAAATCCAGTGTTTGAATACAGGGTTGTTTAGTCTATTGAATCGATGAAACAGCTGCGTAAATTGAATCGATGAAACAGGTTTCGTAGTCAACGATAAAAGTGCGAAAGAGGTCGTTATGCAGACGCACATGTTAAGCACTCGACATCGCCACCAGGCATGGTTTCTGCCCTGCGATTCTGTAAAAATCCAAAGCCGAATCCGAATTCATTCAGGTGTTCGAATTCACTTCAAAAAGCGACATCCGCTCAACCTTGAATTGGTAATAACGTTTCGTGGCGTAAGTGAAGTGAGTTTCGGAATGGTATACCAATAGAATATCTGAGAAACGTATATTCAATCAATTTTGTTTTGTATTTTTATACAAAAAATGGGAATCAATTCGACTGAATTCGAGTTTGGATTTCTACAGAATCACAGCGCTAATCACTATCCAAATATCACGAATTTTCTTTCTCAAAAGGCGACAACTATGTCTATGTATGTGTAACGGCGTAATAACACAGAATATATAACAGATGACACATAGACAACGCTCACCGACACAACATCTTGGACCGTTACGGGCCAGTGCGTATTTGCAAAAAAAAAGAGATATCATTACAAAGACAAAATATTTGAATCGTTATTGTTTATACATATTTCCTGTCTTTCCGTGTCACTACTACGATAGTTTATTGTGGATAAGCCAAAGTTGATAAGCTGAGGGATACATTGAATTAGATCATTCGCGAGTGTCTATGATCGAGGCGCGAGACTCACGCTGAGCTCTATGGATGTTGTGACGTAGGTCCAGTCGTGCGTCACGCGCGGGGCGAGCTCCCCCTCCGCGCCCACCGCTGTCCTTATGGAGTTGAACACGCCCGTCACCGTGCGGTGGAACAATCTATACAGCATTAACATAGCATTATTAAAGGCACAGGATCTAACTCATACAGCCATTCGCAGGTTTTTTGTGTGTATGATCTATTTCATATAGTAATATATCTTCTAGTATTAGTAAATAAGTTCTAATCGTTGAAATTTAAGTATTAGTAACAGTAATCCGCTCACTTGTCGAGTCGTTGCATGTTATTGGAAGTCTGTCCGGGGGAGGCGTTCCTCTCTGCGTTCATGTCGTACTCGTCTGTAGAAACGAGAGCATTCATTTAATTGAATAGGCTTTGGCTATTTTTTCTTCTAAATAAAAATAAATACATTTATTTTTAAGTGTTTAAAATTCAATGAATTATGAATAAACATAGATATTTCCATTATTTAAAAAAAAATGAAAGCCTCAAGTGAGAATGTTTAAAAAAAATTAAACCTAATATTATTTCTTAATAACCAAATACGGTTTAGTACCAAAAACCAGCCTTTGCGAAAGTTACTTTCTACAATGGCATTATATAATTAAACGTTTACTTATTGATTTTTCTACAGCATTCCGGTATATGGTGCATGTTTGTTTATAATAATCGTCATTATATTTCCTCGAAAACATTGTCATAAAATTATGAAGGTTCAACGTGTCTTGTTATTATTAACAGCATGGAAATTATCTTAAAATCAATTCAAGTGTCATCATTATCAAAATTAGAATTCATTCCAATGCGAGCACAAAATATATACCTGCCAGCGTGGCGGTGTCCACGGGCCGCGAGGAGTGCGCCCGCTGGCACTCCCACCACGCCTCCTCCGCCCTGCGCGGTAACATGTTACCAGTTAGTATAACGTAACGTTGTACGGTCACAAAAGCGGCATTATTAAGAGAACATCGTATAAATAGTTCAAATCACAAGGTTTATATTTAATACTAAAAACAAAAATAATTAATTTGTTATTATTCATAGATTTTGCATTCACACTGAAAAACATTTTTGATGAAATGCTTAAAAAATCCACTTTGTCCCTGGCACTATTGTGTTTAAAGTATTTTTCATATAAATAAAAATAGGTCGACAAAAAGTTGAAGAATACAATATTTTGTATGTTTTCTAGATACTGAATTTTATGCTTTCAATAATAAAAAGTCATTTTGTTATTGAGAAACTTGTGAACAAATAAATAGGACCCATTTTTTTCGATTTATTTGATAAAAAGAAACACAGTTTATATAAAAACTTTGTGACTAACTAATTTTACACATTTACTTGTAGTAATACAAGCATATATTTCTCATCTTTAATTAAAAAAGCTTAAAAAAACCACCAGCCAGTGACGACATTCTATGTCCCAGTCTCACACTATCCTATTTATAGAATCTTACTTCGTAGTGTTAAAGTCAAAAATTGAAATGAACTAAGATACTATGTGTACATAACGCGTACATATAGGTAAATATGATCTCTAATGCTTTAGTATAGAGTCGAGAATCGTGTAAATTAGGGATATACAAAATAGGTGCTTTCCAATATTGTAAAACACGTAATACATGGATCTGTTCCACTAAAAACGCCTCCGCTTAAATGGAATCAAACACCTCCAATATGACAGATGGACGAATTTCGATGAAATTTGCGTGGCTGCTTATTATATTAGGCATATAGGCTACTTTTTATCTCACTAATCAATACTCTAGGAATCACGTTGGTGAAGCCGCTGGGAAAAGCTAGTCATAAATAAATGAGAGTGAGAGTAGGTGGGAGTGGGGGAATAGAAGGACTATTCCTTCCAAGACGGGTATAAAAATTTCAGAAAATGTAAGAACTTAATTTATTTTTGACTATTCAGTCAATTAACTATTCAGTCAAAAATAAATTAAGTTTACATTTAAAGTTAATATTAAATGAGTCCGAATAATCGAGGTTATGATAATCGGGATTCTACTGTTATTTAGCAACAAAAACTGTTAAAACACATCAATATATTTCACATTCTTTGTTATGCACAGTAAAATCTATATATAAAAAAATTTTGTGTCACGATGTATGTTGCCAATAAACTCCAAAACTACTGAACCGATTTCTATCAAATTACACATGTAGCCGTATTTTGATCTAACTTACTGGTTAGGATAGTTATCATCTCAATTATTCGCTTATGTCGTTAATGTAAACGAATAAAATGTTCTAATTAATTGTTTCTTAAGCAGGTGTTTATTTAGTGTTTAGTTTTATGAAGTTCTCATAGATGGCCGTGTACGTTGATTCATAGATAAAATTCTTCAATATCGTTTGACATCTAGGTTGCAAATACACCCAATAGATGGCGCTGTGTTCTAGATGGCGTTTATTCTAAAGTAATCTGCGGTAATGTTTCATTCAAAGAATTTTGTGTAGATTACGTTTTCGATTAAGTTTTGTGTAAACTTCAGAACTGGTTTTTTTTTCATCTTTATTTCAAATTGCATTGAATTGGATTAATATTTCTAAAGTTTCAAAGATAAAGTGCTGAAACATATTGGACATTCGTTGGTATTTTGTTGTACTATCTTCGAACTTAAACATCAAGGTAATTTCATCATCAGCTCAAAAAACAACAGCGTTTTTGGAAAATATGATGCCCAAAGTAACTATACCACGCGGACGAAGTCGCGGGCAAAAGCTAGTTAGTATATATTTTTGGAATTAATATTTACAAGTTATGATCTTGGGCCGTGAGCAATATTTGCAGCACAGAAAATTGAACAACACTCATAAATGTGCCATAGAAATGGTAGATTAAAAACAGTGACCACATACTTGGGACTGGTCTCCGCCCGCTGCAGCAGACAGCGAAGCTTGGCGATGCTGGTGGAGAGGTCCGCCGCCTCCTCGTACTCGGGCTCCGGCGAATCTGACCCAGATATCACCACCGGGCCCCCCGGCACTAGAATAGGCCCCGTAGGCGCCCCCGGCACTGCCATAGGCCCCGTCGAAGCCCCCGGCACTGCCATCGGACCCGTCGTGCTCTGATGCGGCTACGTATACACACTCTGAATAAGTTCGGTTCATGAGCCAGCGGCAATATGGGTGTAGACAACTTTTTTATATATTTTTATTTAATAGATTTACGTGAAATATTTATATATAGAAAATATATAAATAAGTCAAAATTTAAAAATAAATTGAATATTTAAAATTTCCCGCTGAAACGCCAACTTCTGTGATGTCACAGTCCTCTGAAACGAATATCGTTCTATACATGCATAAGGTTCAATTGTCTAAGTTCTGATATGGGTAAGAGGGGCGTGACGTCTCACAACAACGAGTTTAATAAATTTGTTTTTGCATAATTAATTTAAGCAATATAGTAAGTATAATAGTTTGGTTATCGATAATAGTACATTAGGAAACGCTAATGGCTAGTTTAATGGATTACAATACGCGATCTAGCCTGCCGTTAAGTCTGCAGCGCGCTTGAAGCGGCGTTATGCACACATCACGTTAAGACTATTTAAGACTATTTAATGGCCATGCTCACCACGCTGTCCTGAGAGATGACCCTCTGTTGTTTCAGCAAAGGTGGAACTGAATTTATACCATTATCTTCTGCAATGTAGACATTTTTAAATTTAAATAATATTAATTGATCAAGATTTATTTGTTTAAAAGAAAAATCTCATGAAAAAGGAACCAATATGGTGTACCTCGTTGTGTGACCGAAGTGGGTACCGCCTCCCTCGCCCTGCCCTCCGGCGGTGATATCCTCTCGATCCTTTCCTTGTGCGTGTGCGACGAGGGCTTCTCCTATCAAACAAACACATATGCCACTTAAATATCACACAACGGATCTCAAACATATTTATTAATACATGGCACTTTATTATTTTTTAAATCCTTTCTCGAGTTTTTCCTGCATGGTACCCAGAACCGTTTTCTATACGAAGAACGAAGAGCTAACGTACGAAAGTTTTCGAAATATTTACAAAAAGGTAGTTTGGACACCATAATTTTATTCCTTTATACTTTAAGTAAGTATTGCGAAGCTGTCCCTAATTAATAAGCTTTACTGTCATTTACGTTGCTGTTAATTCAAATATTACATTTTTAAAAGCATCTCATTCCGGGATTTTGAACAATGAATTTTTATATAAGTTCAAGCTACAAGAATGTATTTAGTGAACTGACCAGCGAGTCGTCACTGAGCCCGGTCAGTCTCAGCCCCTTCTTCAGACCGGCGATGCCGAAGTCCAGGAGGCCCTCCATCATACCGGCCGCCTCGTCCTATTCAATAATACTATCAAATAAATAGCCTTTTATTGTCGAAAACAAGTAATAATTTTGTAAAAGGGTAATTTTTTTAAATTGTGTCCCTTGTTTCGACGTGTCTTAGATCATAGGCCTCCCATATCAATCTCCTCCAATAACACTATTACTATTTTTTAACATTAATATACCAATTAATCAATACAATTTTTTGGATCTCAAATTCTTAACTAATATATATTTTATTACTGTTTTTTTTTTAATTTAAGTAATTAATAACTGTCAACAGACAGGCTTTCTCCAGTCTATAACCGTTTATTAAAATATAGAAACAAAAACTAACAGATTATATATATATATATTTTTTTAAATTAATATCATCCATTACAATTAGAGTTTTATAAAAATATAATATATCGTCAAAACAGTAACATCGCATGCGATAATTGTGCAATCCCAGTGCATTCGTCACAGTCTATTTAACATTCATGTCGTGCGAGAAAGCGATAGAAACTATATAAACATATCATTGGAACATAAACCAAACTTTTTTAAAAAAGAAGAAATAATTTTAAGTAATTATTATAAGTTTTCAATACTTGTGTAAATTAATTACATTTATCAGACATTTTGTAAAAGTGACTTCATTCATAATCTAATGAAGTCAGCATTCAATACTCTCTGTATGAAATAAAAAGAGAGAAAAACGCAGCCCTTACTCATTAGTCTCTAGTTATTCTACACGGACCAAGTAAATGTCCTGAATTGCCTGAAAAATGTAATAATTTATCAAAAATATACGGAATAAAAGTTTGTTTTAAATTACTGTAGTGAACTGTAGAGTTACGGAAACAGCGAGTAGTATGATGAAGGTTGTATTTATCATAGATGTAAATATAAATAATAATCGCAAGCTTTATGTTTGACAAATCTATGCATGCTGTACACATGCAGTATTTTCTTTAAAAAGTGTATCAAGCATAGATCAGATTAGTACCTAAGACGATTTTTTTTTTTTTTCAAAATCTGAAATTTTATTTGTGTTATTATAAATTTGGAATGTTATTATAATATTGATATTTTATCGCATATTTTCATTATTATTATACAATATGTGACTTCCATCAATTAAAAGTTACTTTGAAAATAGTTAAATCTACTTTTTAAGACACTGGAGACGCCGTTTTGCTTTTAAATGCATTTAGTAAATATCATATTAATTATCAGCAATTCTTAATCTTTCCCGGTTCACGGACTCCTAGGAAATTAAGGACGATTTCACGAGATCCTCCAAATAAAAAAATAAAAATATGTGACCTCCAGAGGTCTATGGATTGTTGAATGCTATTTAAGGGCTTGTATATTTGAGATGGCACTTTATTGGGACAACTCAATGGTACTAAAACCCCTAATATAATGTATAATTCGAGACAATATATATGATGTAGACTAATATTTATAATAAATGAACATTGGCAAATCATATTTAAAACAACCTCTGTAATATAATTATATTAACTACTCTCTTTTCATTATCATGAATGTGACAGTAATTCTGCCAGTCTGTTACAATCTAATATTAATAATTTATAAGTATATTGTACCTTGGTGAATTTCCTTATAATCACAACATACTAAAATATTTTTTTAATTTCAATACAGACCCATCATTATACTATCTCAAATTATTAAATCTACAATGTAAAAGCAAAGAGAAGCGACAGAACGTGCAGAAAGTCTAACATACACCGGAGTATTGCTTGCGGGGCACATCTATGTTAACATTGGGGGGGACCTGTAGGTCTCCGATCTTAGTCTTAGCCTGGTGTACTGTCGTCTGGAGGTCTTTTAGCAGAGCGTCTGTCGGCTTCGGGCTCAGCTCTTTGCGAACCGGACTGGGCTCCTTAGGGCTTGTATCTGCCAACTCTAGGTCTATAGCATCTTCTTCACCTGTTAATATATCAAATAGTATGCAAGGCATAATATGAAATTTTGAATCACACTTCTTTCATACATTGAGTTTTATAGCAGTGGTTTATAGGCCTGGGGTAGATCAGTTATACTGTGGGGGCAAAAAAAATAATAAAACAAACAAACAACAAATAAGTTGCAATAGGGAAAGTGATATAAAATCAGTTTTTAGTTTTTCGTCAGTTTTTTATAAAATCATAGGAGTATCAATCATAAAAGGATTGACTACTAATCATAAAACTTACCAAACCAAAGTGGTTGAGGAGACTTGCTCCTGGGAGGGTTGGGGCTACCCTCTGGCTCACCATCTTGCCCCCATAGGCGGCTGAGAGTGATTTCTCCATCAAGGCTTGCCAGCAGGTCCTGTCCAAGACTAATGCACTGCAAATCAATGTCTGTCTCCCAAGTCTTCACACTACCTATATTAGAGAAAAAAGCCATGAGACCTACTATAAGGCAGAAGAAAGTATTACTAACAAACTAAACTAAAAATGCATTTAATGATAAGGGAATTGATATAAAAAACTTTTTTGAGTTGTTACACTATCAAAATATTATTTTTATCAGTTACTAATATTATGTAGCTAACAAGATATTATTTATTTCAAATTGCCTAGAACCCACATGCTTATAAATTTAATATAACACATATTATTTGGCTATAATAATTGATACATTATTTAAATCAATATTTACCTTCAATAATTCTATCATAGATCTTCACTTCATTCCTGCCTTGTCTGCCACGCTTTTGCCTCATGACTGGTGATGATTTAATGTCAACTGGTTCTGTAGATTTTACTGGTACTTCTTCAATTATATTAATAGGGTCTATTTGTAAGATATTATCACTGGTAAACTCTTCATTAATAGCTCGATGGAGTATTGGTGCTGTTGTTTTAGTTATCATTGTGGTTAATGCAGACTCAACAGTCGGTTTTTCAGGTTTTTGTTCAACAATGGTTTCCTCTTTAGCTTCCGTCACATTTTCATTGTTCGACTCCACATGAACTTTTTTATCTGCTTGTTTCACCTCTTGCACTTTCAAATAAGTCAATAGTTTTTCATTTAACCAAGCCGGGTTTGTTAATGTATTATCAATAAAACTGTCGAGTCTATTTGCCAGAATCCTCACAAGTAACTCTGACTGAGGTGTGTCCCAAAGTTCCCAAGGTACTAACTCCTTTAAAACAACTCTTAGAACATTAGTACAATGTTCAGTTGAGGTCAAATTTTTATCAGGATTCGATATAGGATGAGATTTTTTATAGAGAGATTCAACACTAACGTTTGAAGATTTATCATGGCGCTTTAACGCTTTCCTGTACTCCTTTAAATGACTTGTTAGAATAGCACAAACATCTACATACACATCTTTTGTTTCTACTTTATTACATATCTGTGGACAAATAAGTAATCACTTGTAAATGCTATATTCAAATTCGATTTTTTTTTTTAATAACATTAACATTACATAATGCAATAGACAATTTACCTGAAAACATTTTCCAATCATTTGATCCAATAATTGCTTACAAGCAAATGGAAATCCAATTTCTTGGGATATATACTGCACATACCATGATGACACTAATTTTCTCTCCAAAACAGTCGTAATAATACTCAGCTCATTTGTATCATACTCTTTACATTCTTGTTTAGACCTCTTCCCAGGCTGAGGTAAAATTCTTATTAAACTCGATAGGTATGGATAATCTTTTACTAAGCCTTCTAGATCATACCTAATAGGCTTATTCAGGTGTAATACCCATTGCAGAAACTTAAAACTTAAAGATATCGAAATTACAAAAACTATAAAAATATACGCAAGGAACCATGCCCCGCTTATTGGCGAAATATTCGTGACACAGTTTAGTAATATACAAATAATTGTCCCACTACAAGATATTACAGTTAAACTTTCTAGTAAATTCGTTTTGATTAAAAACATTTTTAACAAAGGCAATAGTTGAATTTTACATTGCCGACAAAGTTTAGAACTTCGCCTCAGCTTCCGAGAAAGTTTTATTGATTTTTTCAAATTTTTTTCTACGGAATTGACATTGACAACCAACTAGGGATGTTCGACCTTATCAATATTTAAGTGTATTGATTTGATGCAAAACAATTCACCTGATCTTTATGTCGATACAGTAGACACGGTATCGCAAGAATATTATATAATTAATTAGTAATATGTTAATATATATACAATCTAAGTTAGCACGATATGTATTTTAATTTGGGCGGCAATTCCTTCAAAAATTTATATGATCCACTTGATTAGTTTATTGACACTTTCGAAATTCAAAAAGCAACACCAGTAATGAAGAAGTATTTAAAAAAAAAATTAGTTCCCGAAATCAAACTAGATAGCTCTTGATTTCTCCATGACAACCATCCGGTTTTCTTTCGGTTTTCTTTCTAGGTCTGGGTTTTATGCACTCGGGAATATAGACGTCGGCAGGGAGTTCCACTCCATGGCAGTGCACAGTAAAAAAGATGAAGAAAAAGAAAAGCGCTTTGTACGGCATCTTGGGATATCAACCAAGTGAGGATGGTATCCCGTACGTCTAGATTGCCGATGGTAAAACGGTGAAGGCAGTATGAGCTCATGCAGCTCCCGAGCACACTCCCGTAGTACATCCTATAAAAGACGGACAGGCATGCGACATTACGGCGATGGCTCAAGCTGTGCAGCTTGGATTCAACTAATTTTATGTCGCCGATGAGTCTCTTAGCTCTGCGTTCCACCGAGGTCAGTGCGGCAAGCTGATATTTAGCTGATCCATCTCACAAGTGACTACTGCAGTACTCCATACACGACCGGACTTGCGCTTTATATAGAGTCAAAAGCTGTTCCGGTGTGAACTCTCTATGCTCGATGTATTCGCCAATGTTAAGGTTCGCAGTTAACTTCATGCCAAGGAGCTCAAGGTTGTCGGTCACAGCGATAGATGTACCCCGGAAAGTAGGAATCAGGTCGAAGTGAGTGAGTCCTTTTTGAACTGAAAAGACACGCCTGCGTTTTGATGGTATTGACGCTGACCAAATTGTTGTCACCCCAGTGGGAGACAAGACTTAAGGTAGCATTCATACGCGTGACCATGGTCTCTCTCAACAGATGCACGTCTTGTCCACTGGTCCTTGCGTCGGATAAATACCTCTCTATGACCGTGCTGTCATCTGCATACCCAACAATTCCCAGAGTTAGCAGATCATTAATGTGCAGCAGAAAAAGGGTCGCAGAGAGGACAGACCCCTGAGGAACTCCAGCTTCGATCGTTTTTAGGTCAGAGAAGCAACCGTCGACGACCACTTTGATTGAACATTCACTAAGAAAGATATCCAGAAGCAAAAACCAGCTGGGATTCCATACGCTGGAAGATTGCTCATCAGACTTGAATGCCAGTCCTTGTCGAAAGCCTTCGAGATGTCGAAAGACACTGCAAGAGCCTCCCCGTGCTTCTCAATGGCCTCTCCCCAGCAATGTGTGACCAGAGATGTACAAAATACCCTGTACAAAGTATCTGGAATACAAGATACAAAATACTTTTAAATTAAGTATTTCAGATACCAGATACAAAATACTTTCGAGAAAAGTATTTGAAATACTAGATACAAAATAGGTATCTTATAGATACTTTTTATAAATACAAATACTTTTCTAAAAAAAGATTTGAATTTCAGTTTGTTTATTAAAGACCACAAAAACCTAAATCTTAGACCAGATGGTTCCAGGGACAAAGTGGATTTTTTAAGCATTTTTCATTAGAAACAATTTTTGTAAGCTTTTATTTAGTTTCACCTGTGTTTGTACTCAAATCTTACAAGCTAAATTTCACCCACTTTTCCTCCGTTTTATTTGTTTGTCAATCACAATGTAACATATAAAAATGCAAATATTTATACATCAGGTTTAAATTATTTTAAATTTTTTAGTTCCTTTTTAATAATAATTTTTTTCAATATAGCATGGTGAATGAAAAATTGCTGAAATATAACAACAACAATTATTATTTAAATTTAATTATAAAATTATTATTTATTTAAAATAAATACAGTACTTGGTTTTTTAAATTAATGGCGTGACTTGTGACGAGGTGAATGTGCGATAGTATGTAATGGAACGTATATTAACTTTTTTTGCAGAATTACCGAAAATTATGCCCCTTTAGTGTATTAAGCTAATTTGAAAATTTTTAGTAGAAAATACTTAGCTTCTGTGGTTGATTATAGTACGTTGGTTTGTAGGAAAGGCTTATAATACGTAGATGTACCTAAAAAGACTTAGAGTTGGTATTGCTGGTACTGTTGGTAATGCGCCATTAGTTACCATCTGATCGGATAAATCCGGTCTCAACCGGATTTGAAGTATTAATTAAGTCTTTATCTATGATATTTCCGTGTTTAATAAAATAAATGAAGCTTTATTTTCTTATTTCTATTAATCAAAGTAATCACCCATGCAATCAATACATCTTTGCCAACGCATTGGTAGCTTAATGATGCCTTCTTGAAGAAATCAGCTGAACGGGAGGCAACAAATACTTCAAAGGCATTTTGTACTGCCTCTCGAGAAATTATTTTTTTCCGTTAAGATGTTATCCAAATTCTGGATTAATAAGAAGTCTGTAGGCGCATGGTCTGTTAAGTACGGCGGATGACGGAGAACTTCAAACCCCAGCTCTTGTAGCTTGGGTACCGCCAATTGTGTAGTATGAGGTCGTACGTGGTCGTGCAGGAGCAGTGGAACCGAACGATTGACAAAACCTGGTTGGAGTTGTGCCAGCTTCTCCGTCATTGTGTTCAGTTCTTCACAATACACACAGTAAATCTGCAGTAATGGTCGTCCTGTTTGTTAAGAAGCTGTGATGAAATACATCCGCGTTAGACCACCAAACAGCAACCTTTTCGTAAACCAATAACGGGCAAACCAATAACGGGTGGTGCGTTCGTTTGTAGTGTTCGCTCTGCAAACGTTGTAATGTTGCGTGCCGCTTTGCTGCCACGATGGCACACATACTCCATAATTACTCGAATTTTTAACTTATCCATGACGACGAAAAATATTCAAATTCATTGAAAACAAAACACTATTGAACAAATGACGATTTAAGAAAAAATAATTTGGTATTAGAATTATCAGCCAAAAAAAATAGTTTGATTTTAAATGGCTAGTACAGTAGAACGGCAATTACATAGGTAAAGACCTAATATTAAGACAGGACTCCGCCCATTTTTTTGTTGTTTCTCAATAAAGATCCATTGAATTAAATGGTTACTTATTAAAGCAAAATCTACTATACGATTACATCACAGATTGTGTTGTATTTTTGAAAAATAAAGGAGTATTAATTGACGATGTCAAAGAAATTATTTGAAGAATTTTTTCTATTAACAAATTTATTTTTATGACGATTAGTTGAAAAGCAGTGGGTAATTATTTTCAATATATGTAATGACAGCACTCGTTTCCGAACTACTGAAGATTTGTCAGTATTTTTTTGTATTATGCCTCATAATGCGAATATTGTTTTTTTTCGCTCATGAATATGCAGTGGTCAAAAGATAGAAAAAGATTAACTGTTGAGTCAATAAAGGCAATATTGCTTTGCTCACGGGATATAATTTCAAGCATTTGCCATGTATCCAATTTCTTTAAAAATAAACTTTTTGAATGCTGTTGTTAGTGGAAAAAGTATAATGTGCAAAAAAATAATAAAATTTAATAATGAGTTTAATTGATATACTGAGTTTTATTTATAGCATATAACCGGGTTTTTACGTAATTCAAGATTTTTTTTATTGCTTGTAACTGGTTATTCGATTTCAAGCCCTATGCGCCATCTATCAATTTTAACTAGGGAGGGTCTATTACACCGGTATAACCGTACGTTCAGTTCTACGCATTTACTTTTTAAATGACACCAAACAATGTTTGGATTCGAGTTATTTTTAACTTAATATTCATTGCGTTGATAATTGAACACTTTCTTTTTGTAAATATGTATGTTTTAGGCAAAAAATGTTTTGTGATATTTATAAAATGTAAGAAATAATCTTTTTATAAAGTATTTTATCAGAAAAAGTATTTAAAAGATACTAAGATACTAAACAAAAGTATTTAAATACAAGATACAAAATACTTCCTAAAGAAAGTATTTTAGATACAAGATGAAAATACGTATTTTGTGTCTTGTATCTGTATTTCAAATACTTGTATCTAAGATAAGTCACATCTCTGCGGACCTCTTTATTTATACCTCTTTATGTGTGGCATTTAAAAATCACATCGAGGTAGAGTTGGAGGGATTTTATAGCCAGCGTCCAGGCTCGAATTTTCTGCAAATAGAGGGGCAAATAAATTAGCTTTCTCAGTAGCGGTGTGAGCCAGTGAACCATCAGATTTTTGCATTGGAGGCAGCATCTGACGACAGAAATTGTTTTCGACTGATTTTGATAAAGACCAGAACTGCTTGCTCTCGGAAAGGTAGGCTGCCAATCTGGCCCCTAAACGACTAACATGGTCGAAACGTGCCTTTCGGAGGACCCTCTTACATGACTTGGCAGCAGAGTTAATGGCTCTCTTCTTGGCTTGGACCCTTCGAATGCGGAGATTGCTTGAATCCAGGATTGGTATGCTTTACGGGCATCAGCACAGGCGCAATCAGCATTATACCAAGGGCGGGCTTTGTATCCGAGTGGGATATCGGAGAATGGAATAAAGTATTCCATTCCTTGCCGGATTACTTTAGTGACTGCATTAGCCGAGCAAGAAGGATCACCAGAAGAGAAGCACATTCGCCGCCATTGATAAGATGCAAAAAAGTGCCGCATCTCATCGCAGTCTGCCGACTCGTATCACCATACTCGCCTCGTTCCTCTAGGGCTGTCATCCGGAGGAGAGTAAATCGACACGGATTTCACCAGACAGTGATCAGACGTTCCCAGCGTGGCTGAAACTGATAACGAGTGCCTATCCGGATCTGTTGTCAGTAGAAGGTCCAAGCAATTGAATGTTTGTCCGTCGACGTTAGGTACCCGTGTAGCCTGATTTATGAGCCGGGTGAGATCTAGTGAAATCGCAAATTTGCGAGCCTCACGCCCAGCATGGTCGGTTACCTGGAATGGAAACAGCCACTTGTGATGGTGAACATTGAAGTCCCCCAGGAAAACAAGCTGCACTGTTGGGTACTTCGTCAGGGCTAAATCTGCGGCCTCAGTCAGGTGGTTCATGAGTCTAGTCGTCTCTTGATCGTCATCATGGGACCGGTAGATACAGGCGTAGACTGTTTTGTCTAATCCACTGTCCACAGCAGCCAAAGCACGGAAAAACCAGAATTTTCAAAGCAGCGGAGTCGTCTACAACAAATGTCTTCGCGAACATACACGCAGACCCCAGCCTTCTTCCTGAATTTCTGTTCAAGAGAGTAGCCCGGGTAGTTGAGGTATGCCACGTCCGATGGTGTTGCTATCTGCGGATCCGTTAAAAAAAGTAGGTGCGGCTTCTCAGTCTCAAGGTGGTGGTGGACCGGGTGGAGATTGGAGTGCAATCCCCGGATATTAGTGAGGTGCACTTTTAATGGGAGGAAGTGCAGCCGTTGTGAAAACCTTTTTCTTTTTTGAACTTCATATTTCGGCAGAGTGAGATGGTGAGCAGAGGAGCAGAGAAGGTCCATGCTCCACTCAGTCATTTAGAATGACCACGAGCTTTACCAACCAAAGGAGAACTCGTCTGGAGACCGCGGGGCCCGAACCCCCCCCTCCCCCGAAATGGCCATCGGGTCCTCCCATCCAGTCGCCAACTGGCACGGTGGAGCATTTCGGGATGTCTCTCTCAGATGATTCTCGCCCATTTTGCGACCAAGATCAATCTCGCTAAAAAAGGTCGAGATCTCGCAAGTACGAGATTGCATTCCCTAGACTCGAGGGTCGCCTAGAGTCATTTGCTTTTTTCTTCCTATAGGTTTTCTGCTTCCTATTCGATATTCGTTTTTTCGGTGAAACCACTATTCGGCGTATTTCTAGCATCCACCATTATTTGGCATGCAAACTTCATAATTTATTTTTATTCGGTATCAAATAAAAAGTATTGATATCTACTTATATCGAATAGTTTTGAAATGCCTCACCATCGTCGTCTTTTTTAGAGATTTTAGGGCAGACTTGAAACTATTGAAAGTTATTATTTTAACAATACTCTGTTTACGGAAGAGAGAGAAGCAAGTCCAGGCATAAAAAGATCCGTAGAGAGATCTCTTAACTACATACAATTACTAGGGCTAACAATGCTTTGTCATACGACAAGGACGCTGCGCTTTTAAGGGTTTTTCATGAGACAATCTTCAGACATTTTTTGATAACTAGTTATTTTCACAACGCTATAAAGTCAAATCGAATAACTGTCTATCGCGAATAACGTCCATCGCTAGATCGTCCGTATCTGTGAGACTTACTGCCTGACTAGGCCAAGATGATAAAGCCGAGGCCGTTAAACATAAAAAAAACTTACTACCTGTCTGTCACGTTTATTTTACTTTTTGCAGTCACGTCACCTCAAAAAGTTTCAAAAAAGGGAGATCGTCGTGTGAATTACAGCGATAAAAAAGACTTTTATTCGAAAATGTATGTAGGTGTTATAAAAGTTTCTGTTTAAAAATATCTTGTTTAAATTGTGTTAATAATCATTTTCTTTTTTTCAATAATACAGGTCTAAAGTTACTTTCAAGATCACGTTGACTTCAGACCCAAAGCTCCCTTTTAAAGTGTAAGTTTCACAATTTTTGTATTCCAATTAACAATCAGTGAACAAACTTCAACGTAGAAACACAGTAGAAAGTACACAATGCGCATTTCATCGTCAACATTGTCTGTATTGAGTTTATTCATTTTAACAGATGCTGACGGATTCCTGGATTCTACGTTGAAGTTTCTTCGTTAGACTATGGACACAACTATTGTTCAACAATTCTTCAACTTTTTCGAAGACTTCATACATTTGTGTCAGTCAGAAAGCTGGCCAGACAACACAACAAGTGAATTGGAAATTAGAAATGCATTTCTTATATCTCAGCATATAGAAAAATGTCTAAATACACTTCAGAAGAAAGAAGTTCTTGACGAATTCCTTTCTAACATGAATAGCCATCAAGATGTGCACAACATTTTACTAAAACAAAGTCTTTCTGATCCTTCAAAGTTTGTATTAAAAAAAGTAGTGAATTCTAAGACTAAAATACAACAAATGGATATTACTTTTAAAGTGTTTGTTGAAATATTTTCTGATGAAAAACTAGAAAATTGTTTGGCAGATTTTATGTTAGAAGCAGCATCAAAACAAACATTACTAAAGAATTTAACTCATGAAATTCCCAAACTAAAAATATTAGAACTTAAAAGTCTTATTTTTCTTAACGAACTTAACTATAGTGAGGATCCAAAAGAAACTATATTGGCCCTGTTCGAAGATTGCAATCAAGATACTGTTGATTTATTTGTAGTTAGTATGACGAATAATAGCTTACAAAACCATGAATCTGTTTATGGTATTGCAAAATCATTAATAGACATCACTGGATCTAAAAAATCCAATCATAAAAAGTTTTGGAAATGTCTTTTCAATGTTGATGAAATAAACTTTACACAGATGTGCTTAAGACACTCTGAGTGGTTTAAAATCATTGTCCAAGCTCTACTTGATTGTGGAAAATTATTACGGGAACATATGTCAGCTGAGTATTTCTATATAGATTTAACATATTCAGAATTAGTCAAGAATGTAAAGAAAGTATGTCACAATGAATGTTTGAAGGTTGAGTTCTTTAACATTGTAGAAGAGTGTGAAACTAATATAAATTTTTGGGAAAATATAATTCTTAATTAGTTTCTTTTAATTAATGGTGATATTATCACTGTGAAATATTATATTAATAAATCATGTTGAACATGTTTTATATATTACCTGTTTGTTTTTATTTTTGACACTACTTTTTAGTTAATTATCCTAAAATTTTAAATTTTTTATAGTAGGTAATTTAGATTTTGATAAATTCACATGCTAATAATTGATATTTTTAAAGAAATAATATCTGTTTTATACTAATAGACAAACTGTAATATACTAATATAGTCCATCCTTTGTATATATATAACTGAATCTCAGTAACAAATCCACTGACTATAATTAAATTTAGTCTAGTAAACTGATCTAGTAAGAATGATTGCTAAAAAGGGATTGCTACCGTTTACCTTATATGTTACGAATTCCCAATATTTCATCAGTGTTGTTAGCAACATATTGATCATGGAATAACTGAAGTTTATGTGGGTGGGTGTTATTTGCAGATATCAGCCTTCGAGTCCTTTTAAATATTGGGAATTCGTAAAATGGAAGGTACAAGGTTGCTACCACGTCCACGCCATCGGCGACTACTCCTGTGATCGCCTTAGATAGTTTGGTGTGGAACATGGATCGCGTCTTAAACATGACACTTCAAGAGCTAATGCGCTTGTATTGAGGGAATAAAATACGTTTAGTCCGAAAAATCTCAAACAAATTTTTGTACCCCTTATTTCTGAAGCCTGCCGCTAATTTAGGATGCCTTAGATAGTTTGGTGTGATTCTGGGTGAGAAGCGTTTCTTCGCTTGCCCAAGGGATGGTACAGCTACAAGTTGCATGGTGTTACATGTTACATGGTGCCTACTGCACCTCGCCAATTTTGTTTAACTCGAGCCACAGTCAGTGCCGAATTAAGCCAGAATGGAGTCTGAAGCAAATTTTTTAAACAAGTTTTAAACACACTGCTACTTTTGCTACGTGGCTAAGCTGACCCTGTGCACAGTATCCATATTATTTAATTACTTTGTGTTTATAAAATAAAAAAGACATTAAAAGGATATGAATAATATTATCAAAAATTAGGCACTGCACTGATTTATTGTTTGTGGTTTCTTCGCACAGGCTGAGCGTCCCTGACGCCACACCGTTTACGGCTGTGCTGAAGTTCGCAGCGGAGGAGTTCAGGGTGGAGCCAGCGACCAGCGCCATCATCACCGACGACGGCATCGGTATCAACCCGCAACAGACCGCAGGTACGCACAGCAACACATCAGGATATGGCACTGTATTATCCAAAAATTAAAATTCAATTTTGATTAGATTTATGACCTTCTTAGTAATATTTAGTCTAGCATCCTTTATTCGACCAAAAAAACTAATAAACAATCACAAAGGGTAGTTAAGTGATGTTTCGCAGAAAATATTTAATGGCGGAGTTTTTTTGTACTTACAGTTTTATCGAACGTGTATACTCCATTCATTATAGCATTAGACAGAAGTTAAATAAGGTTCTTTTTATGGTATACTTTGTGACAAAATATCAATAGTCATGTTATTCTTAAGTCTGAAGGCTAATTTGCTACATATCCACTTAAATACCAGCTGCTATACTTAACCGTTGTCGTTTAAGCTATATATTAAACAAATTAATGAGTATTTGACTTACTTAAATGATTTAATAACTATTACAATAAAAAGTGTTTATCTTAAAGAACCTAAAGAAACAGGGTTGAATAGTTTAGGCACGATTTTCATGTCAGTATAACTCTACCAAATTTAAAACGTTGCCTAATCCCTTCAAACGTTTTGGCAGTACAACTTTTTAATTTTGTCAGACGATAATGTATTCATAATTGTGAAAATACGTAATCTGGGATTGTCATCGATTGTGAATGCTACTGCCTTTTTTGTTGTTTTGCGGTTTTCCGTGATCAAGTTGTTATTGTTTTATTTTTATTATAAGTTTTGTTAAATATGGACGATGCCGGTGCAGGCCCGAGTGGCCCCCATACGTACCCTCAACCTTTGACATTTCAGGAAATTTTTTCAATCAATAGTCTAATGTCTGAATAAATGTTATAAAAGTAATAATACTCGTAAAAAAATCATTTTGTATACCTTTCTTTACTGGGCATTGATATAACTAACTTCTATTTTAATTATATACACAAAAGATGAATTTACTCCCAAGCCAACATGGAAAACTAAATTAGAAATTTAAAAAAATTCTGGCCTTAACTCAACCCCGAGGTATCGTAAAAAAATGGACAATTGCTCAGCTCTTTTAGACTGCCTAACATTCAAAGTTTCAACAAAACTCTAATATTTATTTTTTAAATTTATCTTGAAAATAAAATGTTCTGCACTGCTGCTTCTATGACCCTCTTTTTTCTAATGTTATAATGAATGGAGTATAGACGAAAATAAACGTACATCTGCTCGGTACAAGCGATCCTGGCCATTATGGATATTTGATAAATACATTCGATGTACAAGTGTTGTGTGGACCGGCCGTTAGACTACATAGTGCTCCGAAAAAAGTTTGAACCCACTAACGCTAAATATACTCGTACATATCTATATGTAATGTAAATGCACATTTTATTATACGCGAAATAAAGCCCAACGTCTCATGTAAGACGCATACTTATACATATAATCTGTAGCAGATTTTTCGGGATTTCGATTTAAAATATATATAACAGGTATATTTAGGGACAAATTCCTTTCTAAAAAAGGTCTCATGGTTATAATGTAATGATTAATGAATCTGTTCTTTTTTGTTACAGGGAATGTTTTCCTAAAACATGGATCTGAGTTGAGGCTTATCCCGAGGGATAGAGTGGGTCACACCCAAACTTAGTCACAAACCAAAATCCAATATCATTCCTTCACTAACTTAAGCGTATTTTCATATAGTATATATTATGTTTACATAAATGTTTTTAATAAAATTTATTGCTTATTTATTGTTTTCATTAATCCGGCCCTATATCGGTATATAGGTTAAACTATGGTTAGTTAATACAGACCATAGTTTTTGGCGCAAATCTTATTGAATAAACTTTTAATATTTGAAATAACAAAACACATTAAACTTTGGTAAAATTTAATATTATTATTGCTTGTAAAACAACAGTAAGCTTAGAAATAATGGAACAGAGTGTGCAGTGTACCGCTCGACGGTTCACGCATCAGCATCACTGGTCGACGCTCATCAGAGGCTCCGTCGCCCTCAGGAATGACTTCTCGAACTCCATGCTAGAAAACCGATCGACTGAAGCTCTGGAAAATAAATAGTGCCTATGAGAACATGTCTATTTAGATATTGAGTTTGAACTCTACTCTCAGTGTATTAAGGTTTAAGATCGAGTGGTGGAATTTGAGCGTTTTGTATGATGCGGTGTACTGTAGACTACACAAAAAGCCGCCTTTCTGAATTTCGAACTTAATTCTATTTATCGTCAAGATACCTTTCACTATTGGCGACTAATCTGAAAAGTAATGGCGCTAGGTTGAGGGTAATGACAGCTGTCACTCGGAAATGACTACGGCATGTAATATTAGTTTGATCTTATTATGAAACCGTCGAATATCTTTCCACACAAACTTATTACTCGTCGATGTTTGCCAATTTTTTACGTACTTTTATGGGTTAAAAATTTCTCTATGAAAAAAAAACTGCCCGAATGTAAGTTGGACTTGCGCACCGAAGATTCCATACAAACCTACATGTAACTTTGTACCAAATTTCAACACTCCGAGTTCGCGGAAAAGTACCCTGTAAATTTCGAAAGCGTCAACTTAGAAGCGTGATTTTTCACATCTCCAAGGGTCAGTAGACCTGAGTGTTTGATATATAAATATCAGCTTAGCCGACAAAGTGATCCTGTGTGGAGACCTGGAAAAGTATGAAACGAGGCGTGTAACCTGGCCGCTTCGACGATGGTCCGTCGCTGTGGCGGCGTCAGCGCGACGGCCTCCAGTATGGCGCGCGCGTACTCGTCGGGCTCCGCCGCCAGGTAGCCGGTCCTGCTGCCGGGGGAGGTCTCTATGATGTCAGCGAGGGGCCCGCCCGACCGGTGGGCTATCGTTATCAAACCCGCCGCCATGCACTCCACCACACCTAACGTATACAAATATACTATTAGACAACACACTACTCGCACTGATTGTGAGGGTCAATTCTATTTATCGGTAAACGAAATTTCTAATTTCTATTTGTAGAAATGCGAAATACTACTATATACACTGCCTCTGATGACATTGTTTTAACAAAATCATTATAACGATTCGAAATTTCCCGAATTTCCGTTCGAGGACATAGAGTAGGCCCCCGGGTGTCCATTCGTACTAGTTACACAACGTAAAAGTAAAATAATACTTTATCTACTCAGGTACAGCATTATAAATCGAGTCGGTTATGACTTGCGTGACATAATTTAATAAACCCTCCAGGTCGAGGGCTGCCACGGTATAAATAATAAGAAATTTAAATTACATAAGAACTCTTAAAAGTAATAATACTATTTTTATTACTAGCTATTGACAGTTCTTACTTCATTCAGTCCATTTATTAGTTAAAAATATTTACTTAAGTTATTTATTACTTGTATTAAAGTAATCTATAGCGAAATCGATGGGTCAGTCGTTGGCGCGTTCATTCTGCTATACGGTTATTAAGCAACTTTCTCGTTCTATTGATTTGAACCCATTCCATTGATAGAAAAAGCCTGCATCCTGAAGTTTTGCTACCCCTTATCCACACAATGACGCATGTATAGGTTCGTAAACAGTTTAGTTTTAGTTAAGATGCATGCTGAAGATATTTGGAGATATAGATAAACACTTGATTCCCGTAAACCATTATAATAAGTACAGTAACCCAAAAACAGTGAATGTTAATTTGTTACATTGTTGTACCTATAAAATGCGCGCAAATTTATAATTATTATTTAATAGGTACTTGTGTTGTTCGGCAAACGTGTGTGTGGTGAATGAACCGTTAAACGCCGAGCAGGATGAACTGTGATATATGATTTTGGATGATATGGTATAGTATAGTATGGTATGGTATGGTATGGTATGGTATGGTATGGTATGGTATGATATGGTATGGTTGATATGATATATGGTATGGTATGCATACTGACTGATGCCGAAGTGTTCGTTCCACATGGCGTGTATGGCGATCGTGGAGGTCTGGTAGAGGTGCAGCAGACGCGAGTAGGGCACGTTCACCTCGAAGTGGACGGCGCGCTCGAGCGCCAGGTGGCGCGCCAGGTCGCGCAGGCTCTGCACCCTGCCCGCGTCCGCCTCGTCCCTGCACCCGCCCACCAGGACCAGTCGCATCTGGCCGCATACACTCTACACTACACTCCACACTAATAAACACCGGCCGGCCCCGAGTACGCTCCCGTAACATTATCGTTTGAACCATACAAATAATACAACTTCACACATACTCGAATGAATATTAAACTTAGTAGATACGAGATAGCAATATCGTTTCATATGAAACCGCGCAACTTTGGGTGACATTCTGATGACAAAAAAGGAAGCTATATATGAAAAACTGAAAAAAGTCATGTTAACACATCAATAGCAGCGACAGACAACTGTACATCTGTCTATCTATCACGGTTCATGAGATATAGGCTGGTGAACGGACCAGTCTTAGTAATAAGCTTTACCCTCTGGGTGCGGTACCCTTAAAACAGAACTTACTGATTTTCTTCTTTTTAAAAAAATGTCTACCGCCGTAGATTTGCGAACAGATGGCGTCGCTTCCTACTTCCACAAATGCAAGAGCATAGATTGAATAAACAATAATCATTTACTTAAATAGCTTTATATTTCGTTATATTTTCAGAATATAACTTCATAAGGCGCGTCAAGTCGGCTGTCCCGCCTGCATCTGTAGCTGTGGCAGCCACCAATCCGGACTCTGTCCGTGTGGTTAGTCACAGTTAATAATAAAATAAGTAAGTAACTATGTTTATTTAACAATAAAAATTGGTTAAACAATTTTAGTTAAAAGTATTGAGTAATGTTAACACCGTTAGCTCTACCAAGTACTGCAAGTTGGATGGCGCTTTACAAATAACCCTGTATATAATGAAATTAAACACATACCTTATTCCACAACATTTCGTTCTTGACCAGTAGATTCCTGAGCTCGTACATGGCTTGCAAAATCAACGGATGATCCTTCTCCGGTCGGAACTGCGCCACTGACAGTATCGTAATAGGATCCGACTCCTTCACCAGGGATCTGAGCTGCTTCAATTCTGTCACCTGCACCGATTGACAAATATAAATCTTTTCATTATACATTGAAGCGTGTAATTCGCATTTTGTTAGGCTACCAATCGTAACGTTTATAAAAATTCTGGCATTTATTATACTGTCATAAACTATTAGAAAAATACTTGAAAAGAGGGGAGGGTAACGACAGTTTACCCCAGTAGGTAGTACGGACCTCGCAGGGCGGGTAGACACGGTGGGTGTCCAGCGGCACGTTCCACAGCTCGTTGATATGGTCCTCCGTCCAAGTGCCGTTGACCATGACCACGTGCGCGCAGCGGCCCACCACGCCGTACAACTGCACATTAAGAACTAACCGTCACACATGTCTACACCACATCGGTCTATTGAAGGTCCTCGTGTCATTGCTGATGGCTCAGCGGTTCTTTCTTCCATGTTTTATGATTATTAACCCTGTTAGAAGAAAATGGTATTCTTCCATTTGATCAATGTTTAATTCACAATGCTATAAGGATAAAGGCAATGCTTAAATAATTAATCCGCCAGTCTTATGTGGTATTTTTCAAAGAATTTTTATATAGAAATACTACCATTCTACACTTCTTCTAAATATAAATTTTAACTGTGGCCTTTCATCAAGCTCTGTGTCAGAAAATTTATCTTAAAAAGGGATCCAGAGTTTATGCTTCACCTATTAAAAGTTACATGTAACAAAAAATTTTTTTTACAGCATAAGCAAAATTCAATAAAACTGTTGGAGTGCTTTCGTGCAAATTCAGTAATATTTTAATGTAGACAAGTACTGTATATCAAGGTTTTTGTCAAAGTCTTGTTCTCATTGGGAACAGCGAGACGGACACCCGAAAGCGAGACAATCCCCCGAAAACAGGACGTATGGTCACAGTACCTTTACCACGACTTCAATCATTACAACTACATTACAATCACTCACCCATCCGAATATCTTGTAGTAAATCAGTTTCACCCATGTGAACACTGGATTTCTGGTGATCAGTGAGGAGTTGTTGTACGAGACCATGCGGTGTTTGACGCGACGCATCATCGCCGAAGTGATCGTGGGATAGTGAGTGTACGTGCCCACCGGACATTGGGCCAGGTACCGGAATATAGGATAAGTGAAGGCAAACCCTGTGGTGTCTATGTAAACATCTGTGAAAATACATTATAATAATAAATAACACGGTGTATATCTAATAAGTAGCTCGGTGGCGTAGTGATTAAGCGCCGCGGCCCGCGATCGTTGTCGTTAAGCAACTTTCGCAAGGGTCGGTCACGGGATGGGTGACCAAAAAATTATTATCTCGAGCTACTCCGTGCTTCGGAAGGCACGTTAAGCCGTTGGTCCCGGCTGCATTTGCAGTCGTTGATACCCTCCAATCCGCATTGGGCCAGCGTGGAGGGTCATGGCCCATCCTCCTTAACCATCCATAAGGAAGGCCTGAGCCCCTGCAGTGGGGACATAAAAGGGCTGATGATGATGATATCTAATAATAAATAGCATTATAATATAGATCGTGTCAAACATTAGGGTACAATATCCTGCGTAAATACAGGCATGATGCCTTCAATAATATAATTTGCCTAAAATTAAAAATTTTATGAAATAACTTACATACAAACAAGTACACCAAAGCATAAATCTATACACATACAAAAACACATAGATAAACAAATATACATACAAACAAAATCCACGTTTTCTGTTTTCATTTTTACTTCCTCTTTAAATATTACATATAATAATATTTTTCAAGATAAGCATACATATTTATTAATTTATTTGGGGCAACAACAACCTCAAATTCTAGCATTTACTTAGAAGGTCAATATTAATTATCCACATAAAATAACAAAATACTCAGCTTCAGTTGAGGGTAAAACAATATTGAGAAATTATGTCAGTGGCCGAGCGCACCAACCGTTATCAACACTCGACAGTGCGTAATGGTAAGTAGTGGTTTGCCGCTCGCACGGTTGCCAACTTCACACTTAGTGTTACGAATAAATACATAACATATATCATACTAATTGTTATATTATAGGTAATATATACATATATAATAATACATGTCATACGATCATACATATTTTTAATAGGCACTTATTGTACTCCCGTTTAAAAATACATTTTTGTTACAAGGGTTACATACATATACCATTACTTATTAATGTTAATTTTTAACAAATCAATTTGATCGTTTTATTTTGTAAGCATATTTCTTAAGTTGGTCATAAAAGTTCTCTTACAAGTGATAAACGGATCAAGGGTATTAAACTTCACATTAAACGTTGGCATGAGTCTAGTAACAACCGTATTGTTCCCGTACGATGTGTGGTGTCTAGGGACATAAAACATCGGTGTATGCCTTGTACGATATTAAGGTGTATTAAATGTTATAAGAGCTAGTAGTCAAAAAGCAGCCCCATGTCCAACATGTAACGTCTGTCTTGTAAGGTGAGCAAAGAATATAAGCGACAATTATCAGTGTATTTATTTTTAATGGACGCTTTATTGAATTTGTAATTTAATCTTGATAAAAATTTCTTTTGAATGGATTCCAATTTATTTTTATGTTTTACATAATGCGGTGACCAAATCCGGCAAGCAAATTCCAAAATACTTCTAATAATACAATAGACAATTTTATAACTTGTGATGTTTTTAAAATGTTGACATGTACGCATAACAAATCCGAGGTTTCTATAAGATTTTTTAATAATATTATCTATATGACTTACCATGGTCAACTTTGAATCCAACTTTACACCCGAATCACGCACCTAATTTACTCTTTCGATTAAAACTCCGTTAAAGTTATATTGGTAATTAATTGGTTTTCTTTTGCGGGTAAAAGATATACAATGACATTTGTTGATGCTGACCGAGATTTTATTTTTCTTGTAATATTCAAATAGTTGATTTAGGTCTAATTGAAGTTTTTCACAGCCTCGGATGGTTTTAATTTGTAAATATTTTTTTTTATCGTCAGCGTAACATAGGTGAAAGGAGCTATTAATAAATGGATGTATGTCCTGTATGTACGCTTTGTATAGAAGAGGATCGAGGTGGGAGCCCGGTGGCACGCCAGAGGGGATACAGATGTAGTCTGACCTATATCCACCCATAACTACTGTTTGGGAGCGTTTTGACAGATATAAAGATACCAATCTCAATAAATCACCCTCTATGCCTAGCGATTGAAGTTTTTTAAAAGTATGAAGTGAACCACACGGTCAAAGGCTTTCTCAAAATCCGTGTAGATCACATCCACCTGACCGTCATTCTCCATGCTATTTAAAACAAAGTTGATAAAAAGTGACAGATTAGAGGTTGTTGAGCGGCGCTGCATGAAACCATGCTGGGTGTCCGGTTTACCTATTGAAATTGCGTTATAAATAAAAGCAAACACTACCTTTTCTAACAACTTTCTTAGCGTATTCAAAATAGATATAGGCCAATAGTTTTTTATGAATTGGTGTGATTAGAGGCTATTTCCATGTATCTGGAGAAAACAGATTCTTTCAGTGAGCGCCTGAATAAATTGTAATTGGGATTACTAAACTACGACGGATTACTTACTTACACACGATTTTTAAAATTTGGGTGGTATGCCATCACATCCAGGTCCCTTTGACGTATCTAAAGATTGCTATCCGTAATAGTTTATAAACATTATCTTCAGTAACGTGTATGCTAGATAAAATTTAATGCAGGTGAGGGTCATTCTGTGATTCTAATAATGTAATGTTGTCATCACCCGGTACAGGCTCAAAAATACACTTTCAAAAAATTTACCAAATGCTGCACAAATATCCGTACCATTGCTGAATATTTGATTGTCAAGTAAAAACTGTTGCAGGTAATTAGTGCTTCCTCTTTTATACTTTATGTAGGTCCAGAAGAATTTGGGGTTATACCGGATATGATGCTCAGCATTAATGGTAAAACAGTCATGACATTCTTTTTGTACACGGTGTTGACGAGATCGTAAAAGCCTCAAAACATCGTAGTCCCTAGGATTATTTAATTTTCTTTGATTGTGTTAATAAGTGTTTTACTGTACCAGACCTGGTATGACCCGCTTTAAATGTTCAAAGAAATATGCAAATCAAAGCACTCCTGTAACTTACTATAGAACTGTTTTGTTGCTATATCGATATTATTAGCCTCAAGTGTTTTATTATTTTTTTTTTTGTTTTATTAATTTAAAAGTTTTTCAATAAGTTGCTCTCAGTTGTTCCCCAATTATTTATATTTTGATTCTATTATGTACTATATTAAATACAGTTTGTATTTAATATTTGATATATTTCTTTCGCATCTTGTACACTAACAATAAAACAATGGTTTCTGGTTAAAGAACTGTTAGTATTTTACATATGAAGAAGAGTTGTTGTTTCTAAACATATTATGTATTTCTAACATAATGCTAAAAAATGAAGCTTAACTAAACTTCCTATTAAACTAATTACCTGGGTTTAGTTTCATGAACGCTTCCATGCCCACAACCATTGATCCCAAACTTTGCAAAAGCAGTGTGAAATATGGATACGTCCTGGCCTCTATAAGTCTACCCAAGGACAGTCTGACGAAGTTGATTTTAGCCGGATCAAGCTTCACATTAAACAGGTTGTGTGCTTTGTCTAATATAGTCTGCGCATCAGATGTATCCACAGTATAAATATAGATGTTAGTATCTGGATATCTGTCAATTGAAAAAAAAAAAAAACAACTAAGCCACTTAAGAGTTCAGTGTTTCGTTAGATTATGATTAAATTTTTCGATATTGTTTTAGGTCTGAGTATTGTGGTACCTCTGTTGTTTCAGATTTCCATAATCTTATTACTTGGGATGGCACCATGATGAGACAGAAGAGCCAAAAGCAACATAATTATTTTTTCAATATTATTTATATTCTATTTGAAATTTGATTTAAAACAAAGGATTGGGTATATTTGAGTAGCAATATCTATTGTATAGTATGGGTTATCAACTATAGATTGACTACACTCTTTACATAATCGAAGGACCCGCATGAGGCTGCCTGCAGGTCAATGATCCTTGCCACATTGATTTAACTATTTAATTTAGTAAGGGCAATATATGTGAAGTCATCTTATATTTATTTTACATAATTATCATTGTTATCTTTTGGTTTAGGGTTACCACACAAAACTATTGATCGATGTTCAAGGCCATTGATCAATGGTAGAATGGATTAGTCAACTATCGACCAGCTGAACTAACCACCAGTTATTAAAACAATAGAGTTGTCAGCTCTATAGAGGAAATTACCCACTGTAGTTTGCTTACTACCGATAATGGCTATTCATATCTAAGACAACATTTAATGAACCAGTTTAAGTAAAGTTTTTGAAACATGATTCTAAATATTGTGTGAAGTGTAAGTTAGACACCTATTAAAAAAACTGTTATGCCAAAAGTACCATTCACCTAAAACTGAAATTATGGAACATTTTAGTTATGGAAAAAAATTATTTTGATTAAAACACCTATGCAAACATATGAAAATTTTAACCATTTACATTAGTAGAAACTACTATATAGGTATTGTAATGCTGATTTTTTAACCTAAATTAAACTTAAAAAAATTATTAAAATGAAATAATTTTTGAATTTTCTCCAAAATGAAATTTCATCAAAGAATCATAAATATAATCTGTTTATAAAATTTGTTATCTCCAGCTCTTCCATCCCTCGGAAGACAAGTTAAGCTATTGGTCCTGGGTGCATCTGCTGTTATTCTATTCATGCTATTCAATTTAAATCCATCCACAGGGAAGACTAGTGCTACAGCAATGGAGACTGAAAGAGAGCTGGTGATTTTAAATTTTGTTTGATTTTTAAAAAGTCTAAACTGTCGCATGTGCTGCTAAGTGTAAATACGTTTTAATATTGATAACAATCCATCATCACCCTCATCCAATCTGTACAATTTGCACATTATGATTAGATCAATAACAAAATATATATACAATACCTTGTTAAAAAAGCTTTAATGGCCACCCATAGAACTCTCTCTCCTCCACCGCCAGCCTTACAGTATGGATGGAAGAATGCTACATTGGCTCCATCTCTTTTTCTTCGTTGTAGTTTACGCTCCTTTATACGCATGTACCATGATGCAAATATGAAAGCACATGGCACTATTACAAAAGCTCCAAAAAGAAGAACTCCAAGAAATATAATTGGTATAACTATAAGTAAACTGAAATGAAAAATAACATCATAATTTTATGGCACTTTGTTAGTTTACAGATTCAAATTCTTTTTATTTGGTAAAAATAAATAAAAACATGTAAAAAGAAGTTATCTACAATTTTACTACAGATAATACAAAAAAAAAACTTATCATAACTGTAACAATTTGATATTCATATACTTATACAATTAATAACTTCAATATACTAGAATGTTTTTCATAATAGTATGTAGAAATAATAATAGTATGTTTCATAGAAGCATTTGATTTTTTCCATGTACTGTAACAATTGAAAAATATGATTCCATAAAACAAAACTGTATTTGAGACTTATAATTTTAATTTATTAATTTATCATATAGTTTCAGTTTATATTCTTAATTATCAGAATAACATAGGTATATACTTTATACTTATTTGGGTGATTTTTAAATGATAAGACATATTTGTATTACAGCTCTTGTAACTGCAGACTGACAAACGTACCTAATCATATAATAAAAGGAACTTAATATCATAATGTAGATTACTTCTTAAATTATTGAAAATCTTATTTAAAATTTATACATAGTGCTAAAAACTAGATAAATAGGAAAAAAACTTACGTGAAAAAATGCCAAAACATAGCGATTTCTGATAAAAAGTAAGAATGAAATTATTTTTGAGTAATTTTATTATACAAGCTAAATAATAAACAATTATTTACTTTAACATATGTAATTAAAATTTATTTTTCATAAATCTTTACAAATACTTTTTGATTTGAACATGATTAGAGTAGTAGTAAACTTCGTCCTTTATGGACAGACGAAAATGATTTGAATCAAAGAGTAATATAATATATAATGAAAATTTTAATCATCCATCGCATATTCACGACGTACGTCAAAACTAGGGATGAACGATGTAAGTACTTACTCGATTCTTTATATCCGATACCAAGTTTTTACAACCAGTACACTTTTTGTTGTCGGAGCGTTGTGTTGAATGTTACTTAATTGCATAAATTTAAAGTTAAACTGTATTATATTGATTCCAGACAGACTTAAGCATGTGTTTTAGTTTGAAGGAAAATTCATTGATTGAAATAAAGCACAGAATAGATATTATCAATATTTTGTTTACTTACAACAATTTCGTTTTATTTAGATTTGTAGCTCGTTAACTTTGAAAAAATATTTATTGTTTTAATTTTATTTAGTTTAGTCGACGTCTTGATTTGAATTTCATAAATAACTACAACATAGCTTTGCACGTTAATTATAAACAATTTCTAAACGTCAGTTAAAAAAAAAGAATTGAGCAATAAGACGTTTTTAAAAACGCTTATTAAAAATCGTACAACGTATCAACACTTAAAAAATTTAAGCCGTTATTTCCACCTCTACTCACTGAGGTGTATGAGAAACTCGTTTGCATAAGACTGTTTACTCTGTGGTAAGGTGTCGTATATTTGATACTTATCGGGTAAGTCTTAAGATAATTAACAGATTATTTATTATAATTATCAATTTTATGAAATCTATTCATTAATTCACCACACATAATATAAATTCATTTTTTGAGACTTGATTTGGTTTTGTTGCTATAAGTTCAACTAACAAATAATAGCAACAAGACTAACTTACCTAGTTGTTATTGTTTTCAGAACTTTTGTTAAATGTTTTATTTGTAGAAACTATTTCACGGTAATAGTATTGTATACTAAATGCCACTTTTAATAATTTCCAAGCAATAATTCTATTGATTGCCATAACTTTTAAAAAATCTTTTCTAGGCTCACTTTCATTAAGTTACGTACCTATCCATTTTCCTTTATACAAATAAAAAAGAAATTTATTTATAGGTTGTTTCATACTAATCGAGTTGTGTTTGCGTAACTAAAAGTAACTGAATTTCAACTCAATATTAATCCAAGTTATGAAATCCATAACAATACTGTAAATTCTTTGGTCTGACTCCATGAATTAATATTTAGATCCTACAATTTGTGCTGCCATCTAGTGACATAAAATTGTGTAGTAGGTATTTTTATTTTTTTTCAATGCTTCCTCATTGAGGAAGTTTGGTACGGTACTTTCTTGATTTCTCCATTCACTTCCATTCAACCGTTCCGGTTTTCTTACATCTAAAAAAGTAAATTCATTTTCAAAAATCAATAAACAACTCATATTCTATTTGTACCTTTTCGTATTTGTATTGATATCTAAGCTTCGAACTTTCTAAATTTCAGTTTTTTTAATTTGTTTGTTAAAAGGAACGGAATTGACTATATTTGGTCTATCCGTTTCCTGCAAAAATCAACTTTTGCTGGAGTCGCCATCTAGTGAGGTGCATTTTTAGTGCTTTCATTTTCCATAAAATACTACCTAAGACTCATTAATATCGGGAAAGTCATTGATATCGGGAAAGGAACACGGGAGGGTATTAAGGAAGACCATGGAAAACAGTGCGATCGTCATCTTAGCATAGACATACAAAACGTTAAGGTGTGTTCCTTTCCTTAGCTTTGTATTTACTAGATGCAAGGTTCATAAAAATATCAATAAGTCGAGTGTGATAATATCGATTAGTGGATATCGATGTAATGGTTCACAAAGCCTACATATCGATTTATTTTTGGATCTTATGTAAAAAAACTTGATATTGAAAATAAAAACCTTGTGAAATTACAATACGTTTAATAATAAATCTGTTTATAAAAGTCGGCCAATAATTGATTATGGCCACTAGCTGGCTATAGGACATTTTCAATTTTTGAAAACTGTCTGAGGTATTATGAGAAATTTGTTATGAGTAGGTAAATAAGCATTTTTTGTGCCTACATCAATCACCTGCTAAGTGATATTTTGCTGACATTATAAATGGGGTTCTTTTGACTATAGAAAACATTTCCGATATTCACATATTATTTCTATGTGGTAAGCTCAAAATTTTCACCTAATTTCATAATCAAAAATGAGGATGCATTATCATCACTTCTATGTTATTTACTTTTTTGCTATTTACTAAATGTTGGAATTGTTGAGTGATATAAATCAATATAACCTTTTTAGTTAGAAGTGTGTTGTGTGAGTAATTTGAAACAAAAGATTATTGAGTCGTTTCAGTGGAGTTTAGAGGGTTGTCATTGTTGTGTTGAGAGAACAGTCATTCGAGGGCAAGGGTAAATTTTTTTTATAATAACCTGATAGAGGATTCCATCCTATCGGGGACTTAAGGGTACTCTAGTTTTAGGAGAAAAACAATGCTGTTATTTTACATAAGGAGAGTAAACTTAACATATAGAACACCATAGAGGTCACATTTGACCTTTACCTATGGACTTACACTAAGCTGTGGGGTTGTCCTAACGAGACTCTCTTAAGAAAAATTTATGAGATGTTGAGAATGTTTGTTAATAGAATGAAATACAACAGTAAATAAAATATAAATCTTAAAAAAGCACATATTTTTCTCTTGGTTTTTGAGATATGGGGGATTTTATGCAAAATCATGACAGGGGACTGTTTTGACTATCCAAGGGAATGTTTTAATGGGCAACATAGTAATAATACGGAAAAAGAGTGCCCTCTCGCGTGTATTTAGTGCCAATCAGAATTGAAGCGCCATCTGCATTACTTCCCCAAAAACTATTGCTATATAGGTATACCTATAGTAGGTATGTATTATAGTTATAGGATTCTTTCTTCGCGCCACTCGAAAAATACAAACTGTAAAGACTGTAGTAAAACTTTTAAAAGAAAATTGAGCATAATGAACAACTTTCTTTTAAAAGTTTTACTATGGTTTTTACAGTTTGTATTTTTCGAGCGACGATAACAAAAAGAGGACAAAAACTTGAAAAAGAAACGACATTGTTCACTTATTATAAGTTGTTTATTTCGATAAGTTAAACAAATGCATACAGCACATGATCAGCATAGTCATTCATAAAAAATACAAGTATACATTTTATTATTTTCTGTTTTTGTATTGTTTCCTCTTATTATAATATACTTGCGCTGTCAATTTGGTCTCGTCATCACCCTGGTAATTAATTCTTCCACTCAAAATTCTATTTACTGACTTGCACCAATTATAAATAATTAAATGTACAGTTGTTTTAACAAAATGTTAATAAAAACAATCAGTGTGATAAGAACAAGAACACACAGGAGGCAGTTACAAATAATTTTACAACAAAGTATATTTCCTGATATATTACTTTTGGTAAAAAAAAAAATTTAACGTTATGTGAGTAATATTTTGCATATCACGGAAGCAATTTTCTAGTAGAGTACTTGGATAACATAACCAATTTTTATATTCTTTTGATTTTATAAATGTATTATGTAGGTTCTCTCCATTTTTATCTTGCGATATATTGCTGCATGCATTGCATTTCGCCTTTTTCAAATATTTTCTTAATGCCCATCCACATACATAGTTAATTTGACCGGCGTCACTATTCTCATTAGAGCCCATTATAATATTTTAATTAATAAATATTTCACTATCATTTTTGGGAATATCAGTAGATTTTTAAATTTCCTGTTAAAAAAAATGTTTTGTAGACATTGATTATAATCTGCCTCACAGTTTATTTTGAGTGAATGAGGCGTGTTGAAATATTTAATAGCAATGATTTATACGCTCCTTCAAATCCAACAGTGTTAGGAGCTATGTTTCTAACTCCTGATATTCCCAAAGAAGTTTTCAATGGGGTCTTGATTTAAATTGTTAGTCAACAAACAATCTAACCTATAGTTTTGATACAAAACTTTCCAAATTGCCTCCATGTTTTCAATTGTTTTTATAAAATTTTTGGATGAAGGAATTACACTTTCTGTTGCAATGACTTGACCAGCAATATTTTGTTTGTTTTTTTATGAATTTTACACTATGCAAAATTTTTTTTGCTCTAGTCCATAACTCGTGATGGGTGAGATTCGCTTTACCGGACCTTTATAAATTTTTCCATTGGGAATGTTTAGCGTGTTGATATTTAGACTGTCAAATAAATCATCAATTAATAATGTTATGTTCACCAGTTGACGACACTCTTCTTGCAAATCTCCTCGCGCCGTAAGGTGCTCAGCAACTACAGCAATACTGTGACTGAATACTTGTGTTGCTAATTTCACTCTCATTTTATTATTTTTTTCAGGATCAATGTGTTCCTCCGTTAGTTTATTTAATAATCTTAATTCTCCATAGCATTTATCTGCCGCATAAACTTTTTGGTAATATAATCAGCAACTGTAAAATAAAAAAGAAACCTTTTGTGTACTGTTTATAATAAAGGTCCATGATAATAGTTTTTAAAATTATTTACTATAACTGTTTAAATTAAATACCTTGTGGAGGTGCGTTCTTTTAGATCTGCTACACGAACTATAGTTATGTTCCCTGATGATATCTTCTACATAAGGGATGTACTGAGAGTCAACTGAAAATTAAAGATATATCTATATTATTAATACCAAAAAATAATCTATGTCTTCATCTAGTATTTGAGAACGAAATCAATTATTTATATCAGAAATGATTGTAGTATCTACTTCTATTTAGTAATTTTTTCTCGCTCTTACATTTTCCACAGAAAACTACTGACTATATATATGTTTAGTAGTATAACTTGTAGTCTTTAGTTGTATAACTATATAATCTTCATAAATTAGATTATAATCTTTGTATCAATTTTTAGAGATTATAATAAAATTGTAATTAAACATTGCTAAATATATAAAATAATGGTTATATTAATTACTTGGTATACAAATTAAACTTAATGAGAAAAAAAAACTTTATTTGAGTGATATATAGA